TTTGTTTGCAGTGGAACCTCTGCAGATGAAATGTGCAACTTCTATATCATGTACTACATGGATAGCAAACATGCCATTCCCTACATGTCCTGCATGGAGACAGGATCTGAAGAGCTGTTCCAAAACATTCCAGCTGAGGCCAGCATTCCCATCCCTGTCAGCCCTGGTCACTCCATGATGCACATGGGATCATCGAAAGGTAAATCAGTCAAAATTACAGTTACTGTAATACAAATGTATAACTAATAAAATAAAAGCTTTGTATTTAATTAATTACAATTACAAGAACAAAGAACAAAAATGTATATATATGTATATATGTTAGCTCTAGTGTCTGTCCCAGGACCGTTGTAGATAATGTTAGCTTTGGTGTCTATACCAGTTCTATTGTAGCTAACATTAGCTACAACAGCCACTAGTGCTATGTGTCTGTACCAGGACTGTTGTAGCTAAAGTTAGCGCTGGGGGCTGTAACAGGATCGTTGTAGCTAATGGTAGCTTTGGTGTCTGTACCAGTTCTATTGTAGCTAACATTAGCTTGCGTGAATGTACCTGGACTTTGTAGCTTTTTAGCTTTGCTGTCTGTACCAGGACTGTTGCACTTAACATAAATTGTAAAACTGAAAAAAAAAACTAAAGCTAAACATGTTTTTTTTCTATAATTCATTTAACTAAACTAAACAAAAAAACGCTTTCTCCGCAGATCACGAAGAAGAAAGTTCGCATACGCACGAAAATAATAGAGAGCAAGACGAAGGTGAATCATTTATTTCTATCATTTATTTCTACATGATTTTTAACCTCTCTTCAATGATCGTAAACGTTGTCAGAGGTGTCAATAAAGAGGTTCATTAGAGTTGGTGACTTTTCCAGCCTGCTGTCTGAGCTGAACTAAACCAAGGTTTGCCCCTAAAATCCCCTCAATGTGTATTTAGGACATGATCTAACAAAAATAATTGTATTCTTTTATGCAACTAGAAAATAGTAGCGTCTTCAAAAATTGATTAGTGGAATAATGACACCTGAGAATGTACAGGTGCACATCCACTTTTCCTACTACTACCACGACAACTTTTCCCTCTCCATCTGTTGCCTATTTTTTGAATGTCTGTTCTGGGATGAAAAAAAAAAACCCTTTTTCTTCTGTATGTTTTTTTAACATGTCCCCCCCCTCTTTCTTCTGTATGTTTTTTTAACATGTCTGAAGTTATTGTGTTCATTAAAATTCATTAAAATTTTCCGTAAATGATCATCTTCATTATAGCTGGAGTAAAACAAACAACAAAACTCAACAGCTGACAGTGCACAGTAGATTTCGAAGTATTGCAGGCCTGTGGTTTGAGACCCCGATTTAGAGCCACAATCAGGAAGCAGCAGCTTCTTGTCCCAGACATCTGTCCCCTGTTGTTATTTCTAAACTTTCATCAAACTATCCTAACACTATATCTTCTCGGTGATGAACCACTTTCCTACTGTCCTTGTCCTTAAATTTCCACTCCTCCTTCTCCCCTCTCTCTCTCTCTCTGTGTCTGTACAGGTGACCTCTATTCTCTCATGTCCAAACTTCTAGGCCACAGTAAGGACGTAGCTCGCACTCATAGGTACAATCCCCGGGCTGACCTGGTGGCTCAGATTGATAGTTTAATGCAAAAGAAAGACCTGGCTTTTCCCAGTGCTTCACTGGGCTTCCTGACTGGAAGGCAGGACCCTGTGCTGGCGAGGGACCGAGTCCACAGGTTCCACCAGCTCCAGGCTACGTCTAAGCCCCACAGGGGCAAGATGGTATCTGAAGGAGAAGGTTGGTCTTCAGTGCTGCTTTTTGTTTGTCATCTTCCTGGACCATAAATAAACATCCTCGTAGGATTGGTTCCAAAGGTCACATTAACAAGACTAACACTGGATTTGTAATGGGCCAACCAACCTGTATCTTCTGTTGAAACTTAGTTTTTTGTTTGCCTATTTCAGCATCTCAGTGTTTAGCCTTTAGTAAGTAGCTTAGTTAGGCCAAAAGTTAATCAAACGATAGCAAAAAAAAAATGGTTAGCTAACAGATTTTACCAGTACCAGGAAAAAAATGAAACCTAACTCAAAAAGTAGCCCATGTAGCCAAAACTTAAATATAGAGACAGCTTAAACAAAAGCAACAGAAAATATGACAACCCAATAGTATCATTTTGTCACTTTTGTGAATTTGCCCAGAAATGGCGAAAACCAATTGGAAGAAATTTGAAGACTAAAATTGGGCTCGTAATGTTAAAAAAAAATGGCTTAAAAATCAGCTTAAAAACATTGAATTGTTAATTGGCCTGGGGTTCAGGGTTTATCTTGCTGGTGTGGTCTTGATGAAAACACCCATCATCCCATTCATTTTTGATCTATGCTCCATGAAGCATAGATTCCCTGTATTTTTATTTTTTTTAAATTTTGCATTCTATGAATTGATTTTTTTCTTTGACACCAATAGACCCAGTATTTTTTATTATATATTTTCTATTTTATTTTATTTTTTTATCTCTTTCATCATATGGCTCTTTCATCCTGTGATTCCTCCTCATTTTCTCCCTTCTCCTGACTCCTGTCTCCTGGTTCCTCTCATGACCGTCATTAACAAACATGAGTCATTTTTCTTCCTCCGACCCTTTGATATCTTCACTCTCCTACCCTTCCCCATGGACCTTTGATGTCTTCACTCTCCTACCCTTCCCCATGGAAACGCAGCTAAAGTCCATGTTGACTCTGGGCTTGAGTAGAACCAGCTGATAATTGTCCATCAGTGACCAGAAACCACTTCCTGTCTCTTCTGTTGAAACTGTCCACTGGCTCCTGCCCGGAGGAAAGTGCATTACTGGCAGCAAGTCATTAACGATCATCAGTTCCTCCTGAAAGCTTCAGATAAACCACGTTTGCCGCAGGAAGATAAAGGATCTTGAACCCAGATTCAGACAGTGTATTTGTCTGTTGTTACTCTGCTCTCGTATAAGACGGTTGTCAGATGTCAGAAAATGGTGGAGGCCATAAACTTAAACTGAGTTACTACTCAGTTGAAGGTTATGGCCTCCCCCCTTTTCTGCCCTCTAGTTTCAGATCTTCATCAGTAAAACATAATGTCAGATAGGCAAATTAAGGACTGCAATTCTTGATGTTTTTAAACCACTTTCTGGTTGTCTTTGCAAGATGTCTCTAAACCTCTTTACTTGAAACAAAGAAAAGGTTTTTTGAGGTGTTGTTGTGGAGTTGCTGTTTACATCAGGGATTCTCAAATCGTGTTATTTGGGCTCTCCCTAGTGGTACCGCAGACTGGTTTTCATTACTAAATATATATATATATTAATATATTAATACTACATTTAAGTTCTAAAACATTCTTTACTTTTTTCATATATAAACTGTACACAAATAAATACAATTTTAATTGAATGTGTTACTAGGACATTGTTACAGCTGTTCGTGGCCCAGTTCTGGTCTGTACTGTGGTCCTCTTATGTTTGAGCACAGAACAAAGAGCAGATCAGCATGGTACCGTGGTCAAGTCCAGGTGGGAGCATTCCACTGCTCTGAATACAAATTGTCTTCTAGTCTGTTCCTGATCTAGGCCATTGTTGTCCCTCTGGTTGCAACGCTTATAAAACCTACACAGGATGTATGTTAGCTTAGCATGAATACAGAGGCTATTACCGCTTACAGTAAAGCCTCTAGGTGCGACAACCACCTGGAACAAGTGTCCAGTTGGCCGCAGGAATCTCTGCAGCTGGGTCAAGTCTCAGGTCTCGCCGTGGACTCCAACTCTAACCTGGTCATTTTCCACAGAGGGGATCGCCACTGGGGGGCCGAGTGAGTCCTTGATCCTTCCTGTTCACACAGTTTCCAGCTTCTTTATTAACACCTGCAGGGCGATCAGTATCACCAGGTTTACACATGTGCACTGTAATATATTTATATGAAAAAAGTTACCACAATGGTTTAAATCTAAACTATCTTGTCTGTACATTTATTTAAACCCAATGCATTGAACTGTTCAGAAGTCAACATTCAGGGGCAGTAAGGCAAAGAGTAGCCAATCATAGGAGATCCTAGTGATGTCATCGTTCATTCATTCATTCATCCAGCAATCATTGGGTGATTGCCTCAGATAACTCTGTAGTCCATCACATGGTCACAAAGGGAGACAGATAACCATTCACACTGACATTCACACCTGTGGTCTGTTAAGAGTGAACAGTCAGTCTAATCCTGCATGTTTTAGGACTATGGGACAAAGCTAGATTACCTGAAGAAAAACCAAACTCATAGGTAAGATATGAGAACTTGATGAAGATGAACTGATCAGTTACCAGCAGGACTCAGATTAGTGAAAACACAGTGAACCTCTTTTTCTGTTGCCTGTTTGAAGGGTTCAGTTGAAACATACAGGTAATTATAGGAATCATGCATACATCCTTTTGTTTTTCTGCAGGTCCTTCAACAGTCAAGCTCAGTACCAGGAAAGATTTCTGGGTCCCATCCAGCAGTCCACGATCCTGGTGGTGGATCCAAACAGAGGCAACATCCTGAAAGCGTCAGGCAGAAACATGTGAGTGGGTGAGGACCTCAGCAGAAGGTGAAGAGCGTGAGCGGTGAAAGTCAAGACCCTTCTCTCTGTCCACAGGTTTTATCTGCCTCATGGAATAACAACAGACGAGGACAACAACTACTGGGTCACAGACGTGGCTCTTCATCAGGTAAGCACTCCAGCATGAGGACAGTGAAAGGGACCTTTCAGGTATTGTGTGCTATAAGCCCTTTATATAAGTTGGTATCTGACATACCATTAATAAAAAGTACACATATATATGTATATATATATAATTATATATGTATATATGTATGTATATATGTGTATATGTATATACTGTATGTATATGTGTATATATGTGTGTATATATACGTATATGTTTATATATATACATATATATGTGTATACATTCATATATATGTGTATATATTCATATATATGTATATATATACACGTGTATATGTATATATATGTATATATGTATGTGTATATATGTATGTGTACATATATGTGTATGTATTTATGTGTGTATATATGTGTGTGTATATATACATATACATATATACACACATGTAAATCTGTGTGTGTATACGTGTATGTATATATGTATATATATATATATATATATATACATGTATACATATGAATATGTGTATATATGTGTTCATATATATATACACACACACACACACATATATATAGTTTTTTGATGGTATAAAAGAACAAATAGACTATGTACCATTTATTAAAGGTATGTCAGATACCATTGAATACAATTTTCCATACAACCAATGAGTCTTCCTTGGTCAGGTGTTCAAGGTGACCGGCGACGGCAGAGAGAGGACACTGCTGACACTGGGAGAAGCTTTCACACCAGGAAGTGACAGCAGCCACTTCTGTAAGCCCACCGACGTGGCCGTGGACACGAAGACCGGAAACATCTTTGTCTCTGATGGCTACTGCAACGCCAGGATCCTCAAGTTCTCTGCTGACGGCAGATACCTGACAGAGTGGGGAGCAGGTTAGAATCTGGCAAATGGTTTCAACCAACGAGCTGCTGATGTTTCTGCACCAAAGCCCAACGAGAAAGTCGGGTCATTTTAGGCCAAAGGGACATAGAAACTGCTGATTTAATGGTGGATACTTTAGTTATTTCCCCTCATGTAGAATATTAACTTTCTCTATGGGCTTTTGTAGTTGAAAAATAGTTTAAAGTCAGGAGCAAAAGCGGCTTTGGTGCCGCCTTAAGCTGCTGAGAATAAGAGCTGATGTTGCTGCACAAATACTGTACGTTCACACACTTTGTTTTTTTTCTCCCCTGGTTGCAGGTTCATCCGACAGGAGGAGGCGTTTGCCGTTCCGCATCCCTCACAGCCTGGTCTTCCTTCCAGACAGACAGGAGGTGTGTGTGGCTGACAGGGAGAATGGACGCATCCAGTGCTTCATTGCCGAAACTGGAGAGTTTGTCAAGGAAATTAAGAAAGATGAGTTCGGAGGGAGTGTGTTTGCCATCAACTACAGTCCTGCTGGAGGTGAGGATCTGGGGTCTTTCACCGCCTTTGTTTTTGCTTTAAAAATCAAACTGAAATGTGTACAAATAACGTGTTTGTGTGTCTGTGTGTTTGTGTGAAGATGGATTGATCTTTGCAGTAAATGGACAGTCCTCATATCTCTCCATCCCACTCAAAGGCTTTGTGATCAATTATTCAACTAAGGATATTTTGGACACTTTTGCTCCAAATACAGAGGTAAACACACACACACACACACACACACACTTAAAGCCACTCATGCTGATGGGCATTTCTTTTTGCATCAAAGTGACTTTTGTCTTTTGTCCAGGACTTTGTGATGCCTCATGACATTGTTGAAACCCAGGAGGGCAGCGTGTTCGTGGGGGACGTCGGCACTCAGGCAGTCTTCAAGTTCACCGACGGAAGTAAGTTCTGAAGAATCTGTCTTGATGTGTTCATCCGAATGAAAGTCTTTGGTCTAAGTAAATGTTTAAACACCTTAAATCTTCATTTGCTGTGAGAAGCTTTATTTCTGCAGCTTTTTCTGCCTTTCACACAGACAGGAAAACAGTTGAGTTTCTCTCAAGTCACAACACCGAGATCTAGAAAGAAAACAGATTAAATCACGCAGGAGTTGTGGATCAACTGCAGTATTTGATGGAACTGTAGCCGCAGCTAATACTGTACTCTGATGTAAACAATAGTGAGTGGGAAAATACCCAAATATGGGTACTCTATGAAGCTAAGTTTTGAGGGATTTTTTGAGACCAGACAATTAGCGCTCCTCTGTGCTAGCAGCTAATGCTACTTCTGGCTCAAATCATTTGGTCAGGTGGGCACATCGCTTCACCGTCGTGCTTGTCAGAGGTCCAGCTTGGAAGACCTTGTTTACAGTGTTTAGATTTAATTTAATATATGACAAAATCTCACCAATATAGCAGCAGTACAAAAGCACAAAATCTCTTCACAAAATGTTTAATTTCCTGTATCTCTCTAAAATCTCTTCACAAAATGTTTAATTTCTCAATTATATCTTAACATTTTATTTTATTTTCATTTAGAATCACACCACTCTGTGAAGAAGGGAGATATTGAAGTTCAGCAGCTGGAAGGTGAGCGTCTCAGACTGTCCTCTCCTGGTGAGGAGATGTTTGTCTTTGCTTCTGGACCCGTGTTCTCGTCTCGCCAAAGTTGCGATCAATCCAGTGTCAGCCAGCGATTCAAACATTTGCTTTTGGCTTGTTCATGTGACCCGGTTTAAGGGGTTTTATTAGAATACAGCAGAAAAGTCATACCAAATAAAATACTTAATTTAATCTGCTAAGTCTTTTTTACTTTAGAACTTACTAGTCTAACGTTAAAACGACCGTCTGATGTTTTCATTGTAATCTAAACACATCACTGAACTGAAGTCAGACTGAGAGCGTTTCTCTCTGCCTAGAAATGGAGACTTTCATCCAGACCAAGACGAGGCCTGGACCCAACGCCTCAAAGATGGCCGTGGTCAAGGAGAAGCAGCTCACGGCTCAACAGCCACCGCGGCAGGAGCAGCAGTCGCAGAGCAAAGAGGAGGTGAAGGTGGAGGAGATGAAGGAGAAGAGCGCGGTGAAGACGCACAAGGACTCAGGAGTGTTTCCTGTTGTCATGACAACGCTGCTGCTCGTCCCTCTGCTGCTCGTCATCTCCATCGGCCTCTTCGTCTGCTACAGGAGAAACCGTATGTACTGTAAAAGAGGGGCCACAGATTTTGATGTCTTTAAATCAGTGTTTCCCAAACTTTTTTTTACGAGGGACCCAAAGTTTAAAAGTCACAAACCTTCCCAAGTCAATAGGCTTGATTTGTAAATTACAAAATAAAGGTGTACTTGACTATTATTGAACATTATTGAACTTGTGAATGCAATCGCCACCGCGTAGGCCTACTCTCCACTCCACAATTGGTCTTGTCTTTTGCAACATTGAACTCCTGGGAAACATGATGAGACGACCCAAAAAAAAAAAATCTCTTGTGACCCACCTGAGGGGCACGACCCAGTCTTTGGGAAACAATGCTTTAAACCATAATATCTCTTCCGTGTCACTGGTTCACTTTAACATCCTGCTTGTTGTATGGTGTTCACAGATCAGAGTGAGGTCAAGACCGAGCCCACTACAGTGGGAGGAATCCTGGGAAAAATAAGAGGTGCGTTTTTTATTTATATTTATATGTTATTAGAAAAGCAATCCATCCAAGAAAATGTTTTAATAAAAGTTTGTGCCTTTTTTTGTCTCCTTGGTTCAGGCAAAGCAGTGGGCAGCCTAAACCTGGGCAACTTCTTTGCGACCCACAAAGGCTACAGTCGTCAGGGCTTCGACCAGCTGAGCACCGAGGGCAGCGACCAGGAGCGGAACGAGGATGACAGCAGCGACTCCGAGAACGAGGAGTATTCCGCTCCCCAACTGCCCCCGCAGCCCTCCTCCCCCCCCTCCTCTTAGATGATCCCCTGCTTCTTTTTGCCAAGATGTATGTTATTCATCATGTGTGCAAAACTGTTGTGTTTTCTGCCAATCTAATGGTTTACATAGCTATATTTAAAGATATATAAATATATATATAAATATACTGTAAATACAAATCATTTAGAAAAAGGTTTATTTAATCCTAATTTAATTTATCTGTGCATCTGGTTATGATTCACAGTCAAGTAGCTTGGAAAATGATTTTCCCCCGAGTCAGACTTAGAGAGAAATATCAGACTCAGCCTTAAAGCGAGTCAGAGAGAAATATCAGACTCAGCCTTAAACTCTTTTTTTTCGTGTGCCAATTTTTCATTTGTTTTACTGGAAGAAGAATCTTCAAAATCCCTGAAACCAACTTCCATTAGTAAAACATCTTTGTATTTTATTTTGAACCAGCTACCATGAAGCCTGAAATTGGTTGCCGAGGTTGTACATGTGCCACTGAAATGTGCCACATTCTGCCCTAGACAGTTTTTAGATTAGTCTGAAATTCTGACGTTTCAACTCAGTCTAATGTTAGACTGCAGCAGGAGAAACTCCACGAAAACCCAAACCTCTAGAATCCGGGATTAAAAAGCTAGTTTGAGTATGACTCGGAATGTTTGAAGTAGTAATTGGGTAACACAGCCCAGTATTCATTGGTCATAGTGGGAAGTTTGGAGTGGTGCTTGGAGTTTTACTGTTGGCTAACAATTTGACCAGTCCTTCAGAGTGGCCAAAAGGGCAGTACATCTTATATTCCTAAACTCATAACCTGAAATCTGCTGCTTTTCTAATGTAGTGTTCCACTCTGGTTATTAATGCCTCCGTGCCTGCTCAAGACAAAGGTTAGCTCATTAGCTATAGCTGACTTGAGCTGACACCTTACCAAAATTGTGGAGAAAGAAAACGAGGCTTGGCGTGCCAGAGAGCTGCTGCTTCACATCGCATCTTTTTGTTTCTGTCCATTTAATAGATAACAGTGACGCTATATAATTTTGCTGTTAGCAAGCAAGTGAAACTATCATTTTAAACTGACATATTGATCCACCATCTGAAAAGAGGCCTAAATCAGGTTGCTGAGATTCAAAACATATGTCACTTTTCACCATGGTGTTGTTTCTGAGTGTTTATGTCCTTGTGCCTGCGCAAAAGAAATATGCTGCCTACTTTCCTTAGCACTCTGTTTAAGTAGAATCCTCACTGGGAGCGAAGAAAGAGGGTTAGTTACTTAAAGAGTATCTCGCCTCATCAGCCAGTAAAACTGTGTACTTGAGAAGCTGCATCTTTAAATATAAAGAAAAGGGCCAGTATGTCACGGAAACATTTCTGAGGATAAACTTAGTTCAAAAAAAAAAAAAGTTAAGTTTTACAAAACAGAATAGGAAAGACTCAGGAGAAGGAGTTAGTCCTACTTCCTTGCACACTGTGTGGCCCCCGCTCATCACAAAGCACCTCATGATGTTGAATGATATCCTGAAGCACATTACTCTCACTGATTATTATGGGATATCCATCATTAGATATGTTTGCCCCCTTCTGTTCAGGTAAAATGTGCGTCTTTGCACTATCGCATCAGAAACAGTTGTACAAATGCTTGTTGTCGGTCCTCACACACATTTCACCACACAGTTCTGTGAACTTCGTACATCATTTTGTGTCTTTCACGTTGACTTTTTTTTTTTGAAATTTTCTTCATCTGCTGCCATTTTTTTAATCATCAATCCACCGAGGAATTTAAAAAACATTCTGGTTGTAAACCGGTTGCAGAGGGAAGACCCGCAGAGACAGGAATTGTTCTGCAGGTGTGGGAAGGAAATCATGAACTTGAGTTCCTAACTAACTGACAAATTAACTTATAAGTGACTTTGATTTACTTAATTTTTTTTAAGTAAATAATTTCTTATCATGTGGATTTCCTTTTTTAACCAATGGAACACTTGTGTCCTTCACTCATGGCCATGAGCGTTTATATAACACTTATTATTATATTATATATTATATTATATAACTCTGCCATTATGACGAAAGTTGCCGCAAGGAGGAAAACAACTGCTGCCAAATAGAGATAGGACCGGGTTAATTTCTCTTTGGAGACCAATAATGTTTAAAAAAAAACAAAAAACAAGTTAAAGGTGAAGTCAAAGTGTGGTTTAATGAAAACATGACATTTAAAGCAGGACCAGAATGGAGCCTGAGATGTCTCAGGGAATATTTTGCATTTCTGACAGAAAACCTAACTGCGGGTTTCTACAATGCAGAAGTCCATTGACAAAATTACTATTTTGTCAATGGACTTCTGTATTGAACAATAACAAAATGTAAGTAATTTAAATAACCACATTAAAAAAAAAAAAAACTTAAACTGTCCCTTTAAGAAGACAAACAGTCCGGTTGGCCCTTCGTTAAATGACACGTTCATAACAAATCAAATGTTACCCTGATGTTAGTGATTCACCTCTGTATCATGTAAGGGACCGTCTGCTACTTTTGCACCTCAAGTCTTCAGGAAAACAGAAGATTGTTAACTCTCATCTTCAGGAGATAAAAATACTCTAGTTGATTTAAATGGAATCTTATACTTCTCAGTTTTGCTCTAATTTTTCTGACATTGTAGCACACATTTTGTGATTTGAGCTGGACTAATATTTCTGTATTCGTAGTAGTATTCACTTAATTTTGTTAAAAATCCATTTGTAATAGAATGGCTGAAACCTGAGATTAAACAGAGGACGTGTTTGGTTCATGCTAGTTGCAATGTAGATTGAACCAGATTTAATCAGATTTAAAGTTTTATTTCTGGAGTACAATCTGGTTTCACTCTGAATTTTCAATGTTTTACGATTAGGTTTAAAACTAGTTATATATGGTTAGTCACCTGGCCTTGAATCTATCTTCAGATCCAGTCAATCATCCTAATCTGCCTAAACCGGACCGTCAGATCTCGACATCACTTCCTGCCCTTTATCCTCAGGTTTCCTGTAACCGGACCGTCAGATCTCGACATCACCTCCTGCCCTTTATCCTCAGGTTTCCTGTCATTCTTTCGGCGGCGCGTGGACGAATGTGTTTCTGAACAGCATGTTGTGTAGCTGCCCTCCTGATGTTGCTCCCTGATATTTATTGTAACACACTGGTTTTGCTGCAAGAGTACTATTTTCAGTAACTATGGTATTTGTGTAATAAAGTGTCTGCAAAGCAGCCATGCGTCCTGTCTCCTGTCTGCGGCTCTGCTGCGGACTTTTTCAAAGGGCTTCTCTCGTCAGCAGCTGATGCGGAATCAGGGCAGTGGTGGCTTTATGGGTAATGGAGCAGACTGCTGTCTGGACGCTTTTGACTCCACCAGCTGCCAAGTTCCCACTGAGGTGCTCTGAGCATGGCACCGTCCCCACACACTGCCGCGGCAGAGGTCACATTTGGTTGTGTGCTGTTCACTTTCACTTTCACTTGTTGGTCCAGATCATCACACAACTTCAGTCAATGCAGTGGTTCTCAATTATTTTCTGTCATGCCCCCCCCCTTGGGGAGAGAAATGTTTTCACACCCCCTACTGAGCACCTGATAACATGTATATTCTTATCTGTACAAATCACTGTATGAGTTGCTGCCACCTAGTGTCTGGAGGCTTGTTATCATTACAGCATTACAGCAGTGGTACACTTATGTCCAGTGTGCCATATTGCACTGGAAGCCCCCCACGCGCCCCCTCCCCCATTTGAGAAGTACTGAGTTAATGTGATGTGTCCGTCCATTCACTCATTAATTGAAGCATTTTCCACTCATTCCACTTGTTCATCCGTTCATTTGTCCATTAGTTCATTTCCTTTCCTTCATCCATCCATTCATTCATTTATCCGTTGACCTATTGGCCAGTCCACTATTTACACGTTCATCTTGTCTCATTAATCTGTTATGCCGTTCGTGTGTCCATCAGTTCATTCAATCATCATCTTCCTTATCTCCTCGTGGCCCAAACACATCTCCTGACTCACACTGATTGGTCCAATGGATTACTGCTCCTAATCTTCTTTACATTTGAGAATAGAAACAGTAAGAAGTGGAGCAGCAGACTAAGACATACCGACAGTGTGGACAACATCGGCTCTGCGCTGAAGACGACATCAGCACGAGACAACAGGCGGGTAAGTTTGTTTTTTTATTTTATTTTGATTGATTTGTATCAATGAGTTGCTGCTCACCTTCTCCTCTTCCATCTGGAGATCCAAACCTCAGTGACTTTTTCTTTGATGAAGGACTTTGTGATGGTTAACGTTTAGTCAGAGAAATTGGGTTTTAATTCAAAATTGACTCAACGTAATGTATTTAATTATAATTATCAACAGCCTAGGCGTATAACAAGTATAACAGAACAGAGGTTTTGAGTAACATCTGCTCAAACATACTAAACCTTCATGTTTACTATGTTTTGTGCCAATAACTTCCTTCCTCCCCCTAAACAATTCTCTGAGAAAACTGTTATTTTAACATCACAACTCATGGTAGTTGTTTGTGACTTTAATTTTGAAATTCTCTGTCAAAATTTATAAAACAACCAGTTAGCAGTAGACAAACATGCTACCCACACAAATGATCCAAAAACACTGTTTTTCTCTGTATGGACTTCTGATGTTATCTGATTCTCAAAGGAAACTGAATTGTCATATTCTCACTCTGACTGCTCTGTTTTCTTCCAGTTGATGTGCGTCCAAGCCTGATTTAAGAATGAGCAGGAGAGGGAGGAGGAGGAGCAGCAGGAGGAGGAAGAGCTCCAGCAGCAGCAAACGTGAGTGTCCAGCTCGGCGGTGGACTTGCGTGGTGTGTCCCGGTTAATCTGGAGATCAGCTGAGTCACATGTTTGTCCTCACCTGCTGCACACGAGCTCTTCACGCCCACAGAGGTCAAACTGTTTAGTCAACAGCAGACGCCTGACACGTCAGGATGTCACAGAATTGGTTTCACTCGTTGCGGCGTTGGTGGCTCAATTAAATTAATGAACGGTCTGTTTCCGTTAAGCCCTGTTCCGAAACATATGTACGTTTGTTTCCAACAGGATTAGCCGGGAACCTATGAAATATGGTTGACGAAAAATGACTTTTGTTCACGGATATTTTACAAAGAATTTGGCTAAAGGCTGACTGACAATGAAGAAAATTAAAATATATAAATGTATGTATGAATATATATATAAATACAGTATATGTATGAATATATATATGACAAAAAGATCAAAAACAAAACTAAACAAATCAAAAAAATAACATACATATATGCAGTCTATTTAAACTAAATGTGTTTGAGTTTAAACATAAGGAATGGTTAGAGAATTATCTAATAAATAGGTTAATAAATGCCAAAAGTATATGTGGATAAATCTATACCTAAAATGGGGGGTGGGGCCCCTTGGGGGCCGATTTAATCTAAAAAACTATTTGTAATTGTATTTCCTTTGTTCACTGCAAGTAAAATAAACAAACATTTTATCAAATTCACAATTGAAATTGTTTTCATGTTTTTCCAGAGAGCATCTCACAGTACATCTGTCCGAAGCAGAACAAAAACAACAGCGTCGATGACATCACTGAAAAGGGCGAAACTGACTCGTATCGCAGGGAAAACCTCGTGTCAGGATCTGAAGACGAGGAGAAGTGTGACAGTTGTCCACCGAAGGAGAAAAAGTTCAAACAGGATCATCAGATGAAACCAAATCTGAATCTGAATCAGTGGGACCTTTACACCAGAACCAGTGAGGACAGAGACAAGGGGGTGAAGGTTGTAACGTCAGTGTCTGTCAGCGATCTGAGGAACTCATCTCCGAAGATCACGTTTGAGCAGCAACAGCAGCCTCTGTGTGAAAACACCGGCCGCTGCCCCCCGCTGGTGACCAACGTCATTAACGTCCACCTCACAGGGTCCAACGTCAAACTGGAGATCGAGGAAAGTCTCAACTGTCTTAAAACCACCTTTGTTTTCTTGAAGGACAATGGAACCGATTCCCAAACAGACTCAGTCAGAGCATGTGACAGTAGAAGAACTGCAGATGATGACTCCCATGACCTGCCATGTCAAAACCTGCCCGGCAACAGTGGAGATGAAAATACAAACTTATCGTCAACAAACGTATTTTCTTTCGGCCGACCAAATTCCTTTAATCCAACAATTATGTCGGAAAAATTTAGCTTCGTCTGTCAAAATCAACAAGTGCCAACAGAACGCCAATCATCTCCGGCGACGACGGTGAACGCCGAACCTTGGGAGAAGAGGAACAACTTTCACAAAAGGTTCAGCATCAATCAGTTCTGGGACATTCCTCCACCACAAGAGTTTGCAGACATCAGTGGCAACATCATGGAGGAACAAAGAAATGTTTCCAGTTTGTCCAAAAACAGCCAGGATAATCACATGACCTTCAACGGAACTCACAACGGAGAATCCACAGAGGACCGAGGAGATCTGACTTCCTCTCCTGATCAGTTCTCCGAGTCTGACAACTACTCTCTGTTTGCCAGAACTTCTTTGTCCACCAACAGGTCCAGCTTCACCCAGGAATTCATCAACTCCCAGAGGAGAAGGTCCTGGATCAGGAACAACAGCATTGACACCGTGGAACACAGAGGATGTCCATTACCGATGAAGAGGAGGCAGACGTTTCCTGGAATGTTGGGAGGTCCGGGATCCATGCAAGAAGATCTTCTGCTGCCCTGTGCTGAGTCTTTTTCCTCGTTGAACATGTGCTCAAGCCGACGTGAGAACGTTGAGGAGATTCGCCAGACCCTGGAGAGGCTCTCAGATATTTCTTCAGAAACTGAAGACAGTCCAAAACCTGCCTCCGAGAGACGGGACAGGAAGCAGTTAGTCCTCAGTCAGTTCTGTTCTCTCAGCTCCGAGGTCGCTCCTGAAGATGTCTTCAGCAAACAATCTCCGAGTCTGGGCAACGTTACGTACCACTGTGAAGATCTCCAACAGCGCTTCAAAGACATGGATCATCTGGACATTGGGGGGCGTGAATATAAAGCAGAGCACAGTGAAGTGGAAGACAGTGGTTTTGACCAGGAAATGGTGGAAACGGACCATCACAACAGGGAGCAGGACTCGAAGGACTCTGGAGGACAAACCTTCTCCATACATGTCATCCCTCCGTCCTGCAGTGGCTCAGAGGAGCAGATGCTGGAGAGTCAAACGGTCCAGCTGATCCCAAATGACCTGCTGCAGGACCAGTCCGTCTTAGCTGCACCAGAGGACAAGTCCTCGGTCATGACTCTGGGTTCACTGGAGCACAGGTTCCTGCAGATGGACATCAGATCTACAACCAGCAGCCAAATGGAAAAAGCCACCGCGGAGGATACCCACGTCTCCGTCCCACAGGATGGACACGCTGAGTCACCGGACAAAGGAGCTAAAGCTTCAAGTGAGAAGGAGGATTCCGGAAGTTCTCAGCAAACCACGGCAGAAGAGAAAAAAGACCAGGGACGGTTTTCCAGAAGGTCAACGCGGGCAGAAATCCACACGAGGGAGCAGCTGAGCAGAAGTCTGACTGACAGACAACTCAAATGTAAGTGATTACAAATGGTAGTTCAAGGATTTTTTAAAATGAAATAATTATAATTTTTTGGTTTTATTATTATTTACAGGCTCTTCTCTCGAGGTCAAAGAGCATCTGAAGCCTTTGATGCACAAAGATGTGGAGACCAGCAGTGGTTCAGACCACTGGGCCAGGAGGAGGAAGCTCTTCAAGGAGAGTAAACAGTGGAGCTCAGCCGGAGGAAGCTCCGTCACCAGTGACATCACAGAGGAGTCAGGTAACTCGCACAGAAATGTTTCTACCTCAACGGGTTAGTTAGAACCGGCGTTCCCAAATCCCCGATCCGGGGACTGGTGTTGATCCGTAGGTCATTTGGTATCGGGCCACAGTGGGATACAGTTTCCTTCATTCAAAAAGAATCCAGTCATATCCCTTTATGTTTTTTCATTTAAAGATAATCGGTCAATGTTTCAAAACAACAGGTCATTCAGAATCTGATACTAACGGAATAAGGTCTAAAAATGTTTGATTTGGAAAAATTTTCAACGATGGTGTGGTATTACCAGTCCGATACTGGTCGACCGATCCGTGGTACAGAAAAGGTTGGGGACCACTGGGTTAGAAGACAAAAGATGTTTGATTTGGAAAATTTTTCATCGAGTCCGCAGTATAATGGCTGATACTGGCTGACAGAAAGGGCACAGAAAAGTTTGGGGACCACTGGGTTAGAAGACAAAAAAAGTGGTTATATTTTTTTAAATCTCTTTGTATTTTTAGCGCACTACTGCAGCCAGTCAGTAGGGGGCTCTATTCCATCAAGGATTACTCTGACTCTATGAAATTGCCAGGGCCTGAAAAGAGGATATAAAGAGACAAGATGTTTCGATTTTTTCTATAAATACCTAATGTACTGTACTGTAAAGTACTGCAATATAATGTAGGAGTACAATCATCGTGCGACCGTGTCTCTGTACAACCTTTTTATTCAATGTGTTGTTGTCCTCTAGTATCAGAGGAGTCTCCGTCTGTGGACATGACCGTCAGAGACAACGAAGATGGAGGTTTTTATATGGAGACGTTCCATTCTTCAACCTGGATTTACCAAGGAGACAACCTGGGTCCAGAGGTGATCCCTTCGAGCCTGAACACCAGGACTCGAGCCAGTGCAAGTGAGCATGGAGTTTCAGGGGATTTTTGTTATTGTTTTTTGAAGGAAAATCTGGTTAAAAAGAAGATTAACGTTAGATGAAATAATTTGTTCTGTTGCTGCCCTCTACAGTTCGGGAGAGGACGGTGCAGATCAGTAAAGGCAGCGGAGAATATCCCTGGGGTTTCAGGATTCAGTTCTCCAAACCCATTGTGGTCACGGAGGTTGACACAAGTGAGTAGCTTCAGCAGATAGAGAAGAGTGTCATCGGTGTACAGATGTACAGTGGAACCTCGAGATACGAGCATAATCTGCTCCAGGACCGAGCTCGCAACTCGAGGTGCTCGTAGATAACGTAGATAACGCAAAAACAATACGGAAATAACGCAAACACAATATGGAGGACTCGCGGGAGATGCGTACGGTACGTAAATCACCGAAGACGTGAAGTGAACGAGTGGAGCGGAGTGGGCTGCTCCGGGCGCTCGGCCACCTAGCGTCGGCGTCTGTAAATGTGCTCGTATCTCAAATCTTTACTCGTATCTCCAAGCAAAAATCAGCTTGAAGGCTTGCTCGTATCTCGGAATACTCGTATGTCGAGACACTCATATCTCGAGGTTCCACTGTATTGTATTCTAATGTTTTAGCATTCAAAAAACAGGACAGAAATATGTATCAACTCTGGAGCTGTTAATCACAATTTCATCATACTGTATTAGAATTTATACCAAATGAGCAAAATGACTCGCACTATATATTGACCATCTCTACCGTTCATCCGCTTATCGTTACTGTAATACACGCTTGATACACCCGTTATTTGCACACACTGTGGGAAGACGTTTTTGTTCCGTGAACCACCTCAACTTCCATCTTGTGTTTGTGGAGACCTTGACCTCGTGTCAGAGGTCAGCTACAGCTACCCTCGGATTAATGAAATCAAATATTTACTCCTTCGACAGAAGCATATTTAAATTTCAGTTTGTCGTGATGGGCTGTTGTCACTTTTGTCATTATGGGTCATTCAGACGGAGCGGCAGAAGAAGCAGGTCTGATGGTTGGAGACTACGTCTTGGCGGTGAATGGAATCGACGTCACCAGTATTCCTCACTCCGAGGCCGCTGATCTGGCCAGACAAGGTACTGCGTCTGTTATTTATGACGCTGTACACAACAATGTACTGTAATAATGCTTCAGTTTTCTTTAAAACTTCATGGGTTAAGATCATTATTTTCTGTACTGTTTGTCATTTGTAAACCTTGCAGTATGACTTTTCTGAAAAAAAAAATTCTTATACAGTCATTGTACACTTTTTGGAGGGGCTTCCAATGGAATATGGCACACTGGACATAAGTGTACAACGGCTATAATGCTTGAATGATAACAGGCCTCCTGGTTTGTACAGATACAGTACATGTTATCAGGTTCTCAACAGTATTTCAATTCGCGGGGGTGTGGGTCGGAGGGGGGGGGGTGAAAACATTTCTGTCCTCAAGAGGGGGCATGAGGTAAAGTTTAGGAAAGTGATGTCAGTGGGTAACTTGCCATCACGTGTTTTTATTTATCACCGCTGTAGGACCAGATGATCTGACGCTGACCATCGGCTCCGACATCGCTCGAGGACCCAACACCCCCCGTCCTTCATGTCGAGGTTACCTTCACAAACGCACCCAGTCTGGTCTGATCAAAGGCTGGAGGAGACGCTGGTTTGTCCTAACACATGACTGCTGTCTGCAGTACCACAGACACAAACGGGTGAGAACGCAGATCCGCAGATTATAATGATGACATCACGGCCATCGTCATCACAGTGAAAATATTTTTCAAGTTTATTTGTGACCTTTTATTACAGGATGAAGGGAAGAGACGAGCCCTGTCTGCTGTGAAGCTGGAAGGAGCTGACGTCGGACCAGACTCCTCTCTCGGAAAACCCTTCGTCTTCAAGTGCCGTCCTCTGGCCGCCAACCGAGTTTTCTTCTTCTGTGCCACTTCCAACCAGGAGATGAAAAGGTACAGCGGACACACGAGGTTCTACTTCTCGTCGTCATACTGATGCATATATTTAAACTTGAGTTTCCAAAATTTAAAAAAATACCCCTTTTAAATTTCTTCGTAAATTAAGCGTCTCATTTTATAACCTTTCAGGTGGCTGGAGGCAATGGAGAGAGCGATTCACCCAGTAGCACAGGTAACGTCTGAAAAACAAACAACAATTGTGCGTTATCTAAGTCTTTAACGCAACTTCACTACGCTGATGACGCTCTTATTTATCAGAGAAGCAAATTCCAATATATATTTCCCAATAACATCTATGGACTAGTATTCAAATCTGTTATTGATCGTTGCAGAACCATGTGTGGGTGGACGTCACCAGACACAACTCCAATCTGCCTCCACTGGCGGTGAAAAACCCCGAGTGTCTGGGTTTGCTCCACAAAATGGACAAGATCAAGGACACGTGGGTCCAACACTACTGCATCCTGAAGGATGGCTGTCTCTACCTCTACAGTGGCATCCGTGCAACTCACGCACATGGTACGAAAAAAATTCTTTTCATGACTAACCTTTAGGCAGCCTGTTTTCATTAGAAAACCAAAGTATGTGTGACTTCTCTAACTGTTTTTTTTCTCTGTTGTTTCTGTGAAGGTTAGTCAAACATTTGAACTGATACTTTATTGGCAGTTATTGACTTTTGTAGAACCATGTTGATTTTTGCCACACAAAAAGTCCATTTGTTGTTTTAGCTAATTTCAAAAAGTCCATTTGTTGTTTTAGCTAATGAGGACGGCTAATGAGAATATTCTGGTCTCTTACTGCCTCGTGTGGTAGGCTTTAATGGGATTAACCCCATGGGTTAGTTCATGGGTTAAATACTGCAGTGCTGCCAAATCTTTGGTGTGGGTGTAAAGGCAGTTAGCTACAAACCTTAGATTGAGCTACCCTAATCCTTAGTCCTTCTTAAAAAAAAGACCCAAATTGTTATGACATTTTAGACATTTTGTGTGTATTCAGGTGGGATCTACCTTCACGGCTACACGGTCAGAGAGCAGTCGTACACGTTCAAGAAAACCACCATTGAGCTGAAACCTCCATCCGATGAGTTCAAGACCTTCTATCTGTGTGCGGAAAATCCTAATGAGAATAAACGGTAAGGAGCAAAAACTCAGGATACTCGGGTTTTTGTAACATTTTCATATTTCTCTTTATATTTCCAGGCACTTGCATCTAAAACATACATTCATATTAAGCCTGAAACTCAAAGCGTGAAAACATTTCTGTCCCCAAGGGTGGGGGGGGCATGACAGAAAATAATTGAGAAGCGCTGCATTATGTTATGCTGTGTCTTCAATCCTAACAGGTGGATCGTTGCTATTAAGGCTTCTATCAAAAAGTGGCTTCCTTTACACCAGGCTCTTCAGGACTACATGAACCGACCACCGGAGGAGACCAGGATGTGAGGACATTTTAAAAAACAAATTATCATGATTTTTATATTTTCTTGTTTTCAATGTATATATTGTAATTTTTTAACAAAATCATAAATAATCAATGTTTTAAGATTTTTTTTTAATTTTTAAGGTCATGTACTAACTTCCCCTGAGTCCCACAGTTGTGAACATTTTTTTCCCCATTTTTCTTATGATGTTTTTTTTTGTATTTTTTATGCTAAATTGTAGCCTACTTGATACTTTGTTTTGCTTTTCAATGGAAAAATTAAAACGTATGTACACCTCACAATTACATATGTCTCTGTATATTTGAATGTGTTTTGACACAGTTTTGACACAGTTGCTGTAGTACATACTGTATGTAGAGCTTTAACATAGCGAAATTTGAACCTAAAACCTGAACATGCGTCTAACATCAAAAAAAAAATTAAATCCCTCACGCTCCCTTCCTGTCACTGTGCCATACCAAAGTCCATAGAGAAAACGTACATTTTTACATGACTGTAGTAAAAGACATTTTAGTGATTAAGAGAAGTTGTTTTGGTTTAAAAATGTTTAAAAGCTTACAATTATTTTTTTCAGGTGTAAAACAAGAGCTCCTCCTGAATGACAGAGGTTGTAAACACACAATGACACAGTGGACAGTTTCTGTCAGCGAGGTCTTAAATCATGTGTTATCTCTATGGACTTTGGTACAGGCAATTTACAATTGACTTTCACTTTCTGAAAACCGTGATTAAAACTATGATGATTAACTGTTGTAAAAAGTCTCACCCCAGACACAAATGTACAACGGTTTGAAACAAGCTTTAATGGTCTAACAGTCATCAGGTAACATCAAGCGTACATTTTCTGTTTGGCTTTAAGGAATTCATACAAGTGCATATAAGAGTGACGTTACAGTGGAACAGTTCGTACACCCCCTGAGTTTAAAAAAAAAAAAAAAAAACTTCAAACATCCGAAAATACAGCAAAATAGCATTAGAACAGGATCATTTGTTCACTCTAGCCACAGCTGAAGCTTTGAGTATATTTGAATAAAGTTTATGGCAAAAAACATTTTTTCCAATATTTAATTGTAAATATTAGCAGCAAAGAATGGTGGAGCTGCACATGTGATGCACTTTAACCAAAAGAAAACTTAACTGAAAACCTGTGACAGTGACAAAACCTGAACATATTGTGGCGCTGTTTAGTTTTGTAAGAAAAAAATCAGGTTATGCATTCAAGAGACACAAATAGATATGGCAACGTTCTGCAGCCAAAAAAAAAAATCACATTTCAATAACTTTAATATCCTACAAGAAAAAGCTGATAAATATACCAAAAGTGAAAGTTCAGGACATGTGGCTGTGTGAGGTACTACAGCTGAAAGACAGCTAAGGTTTAGCTAAATACAATTCCAGTAAGCTCAGCAATAAAAAAAGTTTAGCCAAAATTTTAGCTGGGTGAAAGATAAACTGCTAACTGTTAGCCATAACAGCTAACAGGCCACAAAACACCTAAAGGTTTGCCCAAAGTCAATATGGTTAAAGATTTAGCCAACAGCTTAGCAAAACTAGCTTAAAAAATTACACCATTGGCAGACATTGCAAAAAAAAAAAGTTAGAGCAGAGATAGTTTGTAAAGCTTAAAGAGTTAGGCAAAGATAATTAAATAAAACATTAAAACCATAAATAGAAGAAAAACAGTATAACCAGAAGTTAGCAAAACAGCTTAAGATTAGCAACAATAAGCAGGCAGGGCTAGCTTATAGTTCGCCAAACAGGTACCAAACTGTTGCCACAAAGTCTCATGAATGTAGCCGAGGTTTCAAGTTAGCTACGTCCAAAATCTTGTGTGCCCCCTAATGGCTTCTGTTGTTGTGACAGGACAGTCGGGTGTAAGTACCTCAAATGGCCACAGCTGAACTGTCCCTTTAAATGACTGGTTTTAAGTCAACACCAACCACAATTTTGCCATTAATGTTAAATAACAAGTTAAAAACACTTTTTATTGAATTAACAACAATAAATAAACTTTAACAACGTATTAAAATGATGCAGATCATGTTAATGAAGAGTGTTAATGACTTCAGCTCCTTACACTTGTACAGACTTGTTAGCATCGGTGTAGGTTAAAGCTGATCGTGTGCTTCGTTTTCCAAACACTCGACACAATTCAATATTTAACTTCACTAGTTATTGCTAAGTTTATATGATTCACATTTTATAAAACCACATGTCTAATTTCCACACAGTTCTTTTTCAATGCAGGTACTGACAGCGTGCTAGTACTGGCTTTAACTTGGTTCGGACATGAAGGACCCAACTCAAACACTCCGACTCTTGCTGGGCACGAGACTTGGACGTCACTGACGACACCTCAGTGACTTCAACATTTCCAGTGTCTTGAACTCTTGCTGGAGACTACACTCAGATGAAACGTGAAGATTTCCAGTGCCTTGGACTCCTATTGGGCCCTAGTCTCAGATTTAAATTGTTAGTCACCGAGACCCTTACTATAGATTACAGTAGACAGAGACATTTTGTAGTGCCTTGGTTTCGTACTTTACACTATGAGGGCTGAACTCAACTCTTTAAACGATTAGGACTCTTAACTTCAGACTTCACATTATGTTTGTTACCTGAATTAAAAAATCGAAAGCAACTTTGAACCAACTCTCGGTTGGATGTCTAGACAAGTACTTGTTTCGCAACTTTGAACCAACTCTCGGTTGGATTTGACCCAAACCCTTTTTGACTTTGCTTCAACTCATGGTTGGAACTCTGGGGTCACTCAAACTTTCTTTAATGAGCTTGGACTTGACATTTTGGGGACTCAACTTGGACTTGGCTCGACAAGACTAGAACCTTGGTCACCAGTGTTTAACAATTTGGGCCTGTACTGTAATAAATCGTGACCTTGGGGTTTAGTTAACTAACATTTTGCTTAACTAAAAACCAAGAGTTAAAAGAACGCAATTTCAAGCATCGGTGTAGTGGATGGTGTCTTGCCTCACAGTACTAAGGTCAAGAGTTTGTTTCCCAGATGGCTGTTCCATGTGGATTTTGCATATTCTGTGTTTGTTCAGTGTTTTCTCTGAGTTCTAAGGTTTACTCAGTCTGAAGACAAACACGAAGACAAGTATTTCGATCTTTACCAACAACCGAGCTAGCGCCGAAGGACCACCTCTGATTGACCTACATATGACAACAGAGCTGTGTGGAAACAAAGCATTCTCCACCTCATGTGAGGACAACTTAAAGGATTTCCTTCACAAAGTTATGTTTACAGTACAAGGAACCTTACCCCCCCTCCCCCCCCCCCCCCCCCTCCTCCATTCCCAGGACTAGGAGGTCCACTGCCTTCAATCAATTTTCCTTCATCAATCTGAGTACAAACAAAACCGGGCTGGAAATAGCACCTAAAACCGCACACCCCTAAAAAACTTCCACACTCCGCCCAGTCCTTCATGACTTCTTTTTAGAAACACCATGTTCTCCCCGCAGGTTTAGGTGCTGCAGCTGGTGCTGAAGAACCTCAGTGTCCGACGACTCTTTGATGTTCAGTTTGTCCAGATTAAGGTAATCCAGACACTTTAACTGTGCCCTCTTTCCCACTTTTCCCTGGGTCAGGGTCCTGAAGAAGGTGTCCCTGGAGCTGGGCATACTTCGCCTCCGTTTTCGCCCATTAGCGGCAGGAACATCGTAAGGTTGATAGTAACGGCTCTTGGCTTTGAAGATTCTCGATGAACGATGGACGCCCAAATCTACAGACCTGGGGACTGTACTCTGGACGGAGGTGGACACAGCTGCTGGTGACGGATACTTCTCTGAGGGACGTTCTGGCCATTTGTGGGCCAGTTTGAGCAGCTCCTCTCCTGTGGAGAAGCCCACCAGATAGTTGGAGTCCATGTGGAGGATCTGGTATCCTGCTACGGTTCCTCTGATCGGAGAACACGGCGTGCTGGAGCAGCGAGGTCTCTCTGCTTCTGGTTTGAGCGTGGCTTTGACCTCAGCCGAGGGACGAATGGACACATGTGTCCTAGAGACTCCGCTGACATCCATGTCCATCCCAACAGACATGTCCTGAGGAGATGCAGAGAAACATCAGTCATGCTTGTGTCTGAAAGCATCGAGGAAACTGTACAAAAACACCACCAGCTGTCTGGAGCCACTTAAACTACTGCTAGTCAACTTGGTACTGTTACTGTACTACAAGTAATAATTACCCAAAGGTGTCTCAACTCATTGGACAGGGCACACTTCATTAAGCTGTTACTGCCAGTAAGACCACACATAAAGGTAAAGTATAGGGATGCACCGAATATTCGGCCACCGAAAAATGTCGGCCGAAAATGGCCCAAAAGTGTATTTTCAGTTTTCGGCAGAACTTTCATCACCAAAACAAAACAGCCAAAACAGGAAGTTATGATGGCGCAAGCAAAAACCATGGCCAGCACGGGCGTGTCTGAAAGTGCCAACATGTGGTCACATTTCAGTATATCGGAGGAAGACCCACGGATAGCGTTTGCAAAACATGTAATGCTGATAACGGCAGATAGAAGTATGTGTTTCACCAGTTTTTGTTTGTAACTGATCCAAACGGTGGAATTATTCATATGGAAAAATGCACAATTATCCTCACGTTTGGCATCACAGACTTAATGGATGATAATTATTTATTTGCGTCTTGACGGTGATTTGTAGTAAGGCTGTCCAAAGTCAAGGAATTTTGCCTGCAGTGAGTCAGGACGGATCAATATAGCAGTATGCAATATTATTGCGTCATTGTTTTTAAATGTAGCTGTTTAGAAAATGACTGAACTCCCTGCGATGTTTCCTCTGACACACGGTGCCCACACATTTAAGAGAGGTTATAAAAAAGACATGGCAATTTTCCAACACTTTTTTATTTTACTGAATGACGATCAAATTCCTGATAATGATAATGATGATAATGAGGTATTTTCATTTTTATGTTCTAGAATCAAATTCCTGATAACGATAATGATGATGAGGTATTTTCATTTTTATGTTCTAGTTTGCAGAGTTTCTTTCAAAACGTTGTTGTCTTCAACAATATCGATCAGACTCCAGTCTCTCACAATCTATTTGAAAAATTGTGTCAGTCGGGTTGTCAGTCGTAACTGCCTTGCGCTCCGAAGCTGGTCTGATGCGTCTGACCTGAAGTGAAAGTTTCCAATAATGCATGCTGGTTATTAAGGTGGTATTTTAAGCTTGAGGGGGGCGTCAGTGGAAAAAAAACCCCATTTGTAATGACTGTGTATTAGAGCAGGTTAGGTTGATGGATGGTTTGATAATTATTGAATATAGAGTTCAGGTCCTTTTGCCCAAGGTGTTGTATGTGTTGAATATTTTAATCTCACTGAATATTTCCAACAACTCTTGTTTGTATTTGTCTTGGTTTTGTACACTGTATTATGTATGTGCTATACTTTTATCATTCATGTCATGTTTTATCGTCTCTTACATCGTTATAAAACAGAAAACAGTGTTGTTGTTAAACTCGTCCGTTTGTCTGCTCTGTTGTAAATGAACTGCCTTTGGATTAGGATCTGGACTGAAGTGTGTCGTGGTCCTGCTAGTTCTGTTCCTTCCTGCCTTAGGGCATTTGGCTGGTCAGATCAAAGAGCTCCTCTAGTCACTGAAGTGTCATCCGATGACAAACACGGCTGCTTTGTGAATTACGTATGCAGTTAACAACGTTGGTGTCGCTACGCTACGCTTAGCCTACAACAAAAGTAGGCTATGTCTCTATTTAAGACAAAAGCTGCATATCATATTGATTATTCTGTTGCCATGGTGACTAGAGGTCATTGTTTTGCTTGCTACTTGATGTATACGGTGTTTTTACTTTATGCAAGTTGATTTTGACCGATTTTGAGACGCAGGTACGTGGAAGTCCAGGTTTCTCCATTAAAAACAAAACTAACTGTTAAAAATGTCTGTTCGTTGCTTTCTATGTTACGGCCTGAAGAGTAGAAACCACCAGTCCTAGCTGCTGATTGGTGGATGTGACAATAGTACATTTTAAATATTTTTGCCAAATGAGAATTGTTTTAAATCTGCAAAGTGGATTCTAGTGTTGATTTGAATCTAGAGGAGCAAGTGTAGTGTAAGATGTTTGTGACTTTGCAATGAGCTTGTATTGAAGTTGTTCATTCATGATTAGCACGTATGTAACAACAAATGCTTGAGCATGTCATAAAACCACGTCTTTATATTTTCACTGCTTCGCCAGTACATGATGATTGTAATGCAAGTATCTTCCAGCCCTGTAGTTGTTAGAATATTCAGAGGTGGGTTGCATTCTGTATACCCATACTGTAACTTTCATGTCATCAACAAACTAGAATGTAATCATAATCCTAATCCCAATTCTAATCCAACGCAAAAACCCATTCTTGACCCTAAATATTCCATTGATGCTAAGGGGAACGCTCTTACTATGTTAAATATCAACAACAGAACAGGTGTTTCCACAGCATAGTAAATACATTTAACACACACCCACGAAACACATAGGTTTACACACACACAGACAAGTTTTTCCATCCTAATGACAGGTTAGATGACAGTAAAGATGGCTGATCTACGGCAGGCCCGGCTTGTCCCGGTTCGTCCCGGTCTATCCCGGTCTGTGGTTCAGACGCTAACTCGTTACCAATCACTATTGAGGTCGAGCCTCCATGTTTTACAGAAACGGCTTCAGAGCTTTGACAAAACACATTAAAAAAGCGATCTACATGCGTTTGATTGACAGCTCAGTGATGGGCGACACTGTACGTACGAGACTGTGATAGTGGGAATTGCTGGTGTAAGAAAATAATAAAACCTATTTTATTAACATTAATAACGACTGTTTTTTTTAAGCGGATGAAACGCGAATTAAAGACAAACCTGTTAGTATCGTTTTCGGGTCGGATTCTCTCCTCGGTGTCTCCTCTCTTCTCCTCCCTCACTGTTCCGTCAACAGCGGAGGAAAAAACACTTCCGGTCCTATTTTCTTTTACGGCGGCGTCGTAACGCAATGACCTGCAGTTTACACTGTTGTTACAAAATAATGACTTGCTGATAATTACACACTTTTATTATTTATTATAATCCTCAATTATTTGATATGATATATTAGTTAACGTGTTTGCATCCTTAAAATATATTTTTTAATATTTATTCTATTTCGTGATATTACTTTTTTGTGAAAAGCTTGATTTGAGGTTAGATTCTCTTTCATATTTGACCGTGTATAATGTTTTGGCTAATATGAGCCAATTTCTACTATTTTTTATTATTTTTTTGCAACCTCTAATTTATATTTCAGATAAATGTATATATACTGCCTTTTGGTTTTCTTAAGCAACTATAGCTACTTTTGCTGCATTGTATTTTGATAATATCTAAGTTACCTTATTGAATGGATTGGGTATTGATGGGTTTTTTTTAATGCTAGCTATTTTTTATTTTGCTATATTGCTATATATATTGTACAATAAGCTAACTTCCTGCTACAGTTAAATTACTGTAAGCTAACTGTTGCAAATATTTTAGCTAACCTGAGGTTATTATGTAATAAGAAATACATTTCTATTTGTATACTTTTACAGACTCTGAGTATTTCTTGGCTAACTTAGCTTTGTCCTAAAACGTTATACTTTCTTTCTTTTTAAATATTTGCACAACCTCCGTGACATTGTCATTGACCATATTGTGTCTGTATTTATATATATAACTTTTTAAAATAATTATTTTTATAGCAATATAAATTTTAAAGCTCACAAAATTCCTTTACCTGCTTTACCTTTATCTGCATCAGTGGAAATTCCCACAAATGCACAGCTAACTTGGTTTGTTGGTCCATCCATCCATCCATCATGGAAAGATGCCATCATCCACAAAAGATCAAGGTACCAAAGATGATTAGGCTCATAATATTGACTTTGAAGTCTTTTTCATTGACAATCATGCTCATAGTCAATAGCAATTTTCAAACACAAAGTGGAGCATCAGGAGTGTTTTATTTACTTTTAGGTATTCAGAATAGGACTATGAGCTTTGGTGCCACTTTCAGCTGTTGTCGGGAAAACTACTTCAAGTTGTAAGATTGTTGAAAACAAGGAGCTGGGAAATAGGTCCAACAGAAACCCAGCCAGAGAGATGAGATGTCTTAATTGTGTTTTAAATACATCTAGGTCTAGTGTCCTATAACAACCCACCTTATTATTTTGAATGTGGTACAAAGCTACACTATATAAATTATACAAGTACAGGTTCACAATTTCATAATTTTATTTTTTAAATATGTTGGATGAATGATTTTGTATAGTCAAAGAAATTTCAATTTGGTGGTGGGGGATTGTTGAAATAAAACATAAATAAAACAAAAAAACTAGACATTTTTGAGCTTCAAGTATGAGGATTCATAAACACATTTACCAACTTCAAATATGAGGATTCATAAACACATTTACCAACCAAAACAATATATATATATTTTTTTAAAAAAAGGTAAAATAGAAGTGTCCAAATAATATAATTCAATATTAAGTACAGTAAAAGACCAGTAGGTGGCAGTATTCCAAAACCAGTTGTAGAACACCAAGAAGACAAATCGGAAGTTGTGTTGTTTTTGTGAAAGCATGGCGGTTCTCTGTCAGATGTAGTCAGTCAGACCACTGTCTGTATTCACCTCCTTGGTCTTCGTGTTGTTTTTTTTCGTAAACCGTAAACAACAGCTAGAGACGGCGTTAGTGCACAGAACCTTGTGTTGGCTGGTTGTTCTGTTTGTAGCGTCGCAGCTGAGCCGTGCAGAAATGTGCACACAGAGCAGAGCTGCGGCTCTGATGGCAAACATCCAACAGGCGGACATCGACTCGTCAGGAGTCTTTAAATACGTCTTGATCCGGGTCCACAGTCGAGAAGAAGGAGACGATTCTGAGGTGGACATCGTCCGCGGATACGGGTGGGCAGAGTACCACGGTGAGTCGGGAATCTAAACAGTATTATTTCATATTTTAATACACTTATATTCTCTGTGTATTGAAATCTGACAACTAAATTATTTTGTACCATGGGCTACGGTATACTATGATGTGTGTGTTCATGCAAAAGAGTGGATTAGGCTGTATATCGAATCATTTTGAGGCTTTTGCGCCCTCTGGTGGTTGGCTTTGGACAAAGCATGTGTGACTTATAAACGGGTATTCACGTCAGAAACAGAAAATACGTATTTAATGACAAAAAAAAAATCGAATATCTTTTACTCAATTCGCTGTTTTTTCTGTTGAAACTTTAAAACGTGCAGTTACGAGAGTTTAATTTAATGTCCTTACAGTCTAATGTTACATAAATGTAAATGGAAAAAAAACCGTTTTGCTCTTCCTGCAGCTGATATTTATGACAAGGTTTCAGAGGAGCTGGAGAAGGACGGTGTTCTGGACTGTGAGTGTATTGGTGGAGGGAGGATCAAACACGACCCTCAGGACAAGAAGATCCATGTGTACGGATACTCCATGGTGAGAGAATATCCACTGAATAATGTTGAAAGATTTACACTGACCTTTTGACAAGTCATGAACAAACTGCAGCTTACATTACCACATTTACACCACTCTTCCAGCTGAAACCTTGATTACAATTATCTTTCACTTTGTTTTTCCTTAAACATGTTCTCTGGCCAAACTTGCACATGTGCGCGGTTAAGTAATAATAATAATAATAATAATTATTATTATTATTATTTGTAACACACTTTATATTTTAAGAAAAATATCAAAGTGCTACAGAAGCATTTAAAAGAGTTCAAACCAGCCACAAATAAAACATACAATTACAGACTATAAGATTTTTTTTTAAAAAGCTAGGTTTTAGGATATGTTCTGTCTGTTGTCTCAGGTGTTCTGGAAGGGTGTTTCACAGTGGAGGAGCATATAAGCTGTAGGCTCAGAGTGTGCTGGGGGGCGTTACCAAGAATGCACTAGAATGTGAGAAGGGAGACTTTGTGTTTGATCCGGAAGGAGATGGGATGTTTACATATTTTCAGCCAGATCCTACCAGAACTGTTTTGGGATGCTCTTGCTGGGAATCCCACTGAGAAGTGGAGGAGACAGAGGTATGGACAAGCTTCTTAGCATCTCTTAAGGTGAAAATGTGACGAAGTCTGCCTATATTCCTGTGGTGGAGAAATTTAGAGAAGTTAGTCGCGGGTTGAAACTGACACCGAGGTCGGTAACTGTTGAAGATGAAAGGGCGTCATTGCCAGAGACTGTAATCCAGGTTAATGGGAGAGGTTTCGGCTCAGATGGTGGGGAACCAGTAAAGATGATTTCAGTTTTCGATTTGTTAAGTTGGAGAAAGTTTAGCCCCAACCAAGCCCTTATAATCTCCACACACTCATGTAAAGTCCCACAGTGACTGATGACTTTGTAGAGTGGGAGCATGTGACACTCATGTAAAGAAATCCCACAGTGCCTGATGACTTTGTAGAGTGGGAGCATGTAGAGATAAAACAGGATAGAACCGAGCACAGGCCCTTGTGGAACCCCGCACTTGGACCTGCCAGTGAGGTAAAACTCAAATGGTAAAACACAAACTCAATAGCTGTTTTTAGTGACAATGGTATATTGCCAGTCTTGGGATTGGTCTTTTACGACGGTTCACCTCGATTTAAATAAAAATGAATGGCTACACAAGGTGTTAGGAGTAAGCTGCATTCTCTTAAAAAATCCACTTTAAACATTGGCAGGAATATCAATTGTTTTTCCCATCTGTGTTGCAGGGATTTGGGAGAGCTAATCACTCCGTCACCACTGAGAAGTTAAAAGTTCGGTATCCAGACTACGAGGTGACCTGGGCCAACGAGGGTTATTGACACAAGAGCAGCCTCTGCTGGACGCCTTCTATACTGAACTCTAACAAACGTAATTAGAGGAAATATTCTCTAAATTAAAAAGAATAGCTCGGAGTATACATTAATGATTCTGAAACTGGTATTTAAGAGAATGTTGTCTAAATAACAGAAACCTAAATAACAGTGACTTGTTTTAAAGTCGGATCGTTGATGTAAAAAAAATGTGATTTAAAAAAAACAAACTATCTTCTTCAGTTAGAAATGAGCTCATTGTTTTTGAATCTGTTAAGCTCTTCGTGCAAACGCTGAGCTAAAGTTGTGTTTATTATCATGCAGCCAATAAAGCACTTGTCAGACGATGTCTGATTTCATATCGTCTTTTCAGTGCTTCGTTGGAGATGGACCTACAGGTGTAGTTTTTGGTCACCAGAGGGCACCGCAGCGCTCTAGACCTAATGTTACCCCTGAAAAAGTTTTGCGTAGAAGTTTCTACTCATTTTTTTTTGGTTCTATATTCCGTGGTAAGTTTAGAAAACGTAAATAAAATAGCTTATTTTAAATTGTGTTAGTTTTATCGTTAATATTGGTGTATAAATTGCACAAAACGACTGAAAATGTCGAACAGAAGCTGCTTCTGACTCAAATAATGACGTTATTTAACATAAAGAGAGCTAAATGCTCGCTTGGCTAACTTCAAACAACTTCACGCTTTACTATATTTTTGTGTTCTATAAAAATGAATACAAACTAAAGGCAGTGTTTGACTGTCTTTTAGTAGAGTGAGGAATAACGAAAGAGAAAACAGTTTTGTTCCATTCTACAGTGGAACCTTTCAAAAATAAATATTAACTAAAAAAAATTAAAAAATGAAGTACTTTCTCGGTATCGTTTTATATATCTGCCGTTTATAACCGGACACTGACGTGTAGATTACAATCGTAAACCACTTGCACACCCTCCCCAACCAAGTTCCATTGAGTCTATTAAAATGTGAACCCACTTAACCCTCAATGATGATGATAGTGATCAGATCAGATGTATTGACGCTGCTCTAACGTACGTGCTGTATGAAAAGTAAATCTGTGATGCTGTTTGTTCCGGACACCTCTCCACGTTCTTCTGTTATTGTGCAACGCATGGACATTCGCTGCCCTGCGGAGGAAGTTGTTTTATGATTGTGCGGGTGCATGCTGGGTAATCTTAAAGTTCAAGCGTTATCTGATTGAAAGGAAGGAGAGATCACAGCTGGCTGGAGAGGATTCTGTGTGCTCGAACCTTCACGCTCAGCCTGTGGGAACAGAACAATAAGGAATGTGGTGGTGCAGGAGCTCACCGCTGCTGCTGCTGCTGCTTCTCCCGCTCCCGGGTGAGATCACACACACTTCACAGACACACACTGGTCCTCACAGGGGGTCCTCAGAGAAGACATGTCTGTCAACGGGAACTATAGGAAACCGATATTATCACTTGACTAACTGATCCAACATGTCAAACTCCACACAAAGTCTTCTTTTCCTTTCGGCTTGTCCATTTTTCAAGGGTTACGAAGTCGAATCATCGTTTTCCATTTTACCCTGAACTTTGCACAAAGTCTGATTTAATGTTTTCTTCTGCCCTCTTGCGGTTGTAATCTCTATATCAGCTTTCATTTCGAGTGGCTGAAGCTAACGGATTATTATGGATATTTACAGTATATACATTTAGTTATAAAGAAAAATATTATTTTCTAAATTGTGTTAATAGTTATTAAAATCATAGGAATAAACATTTTCCATCTGACAAATGTTTAAACATTAAACAAAATATGTCTGTATTTTGGTATAGAAATGAAAAATGAAAAGAAAAGACAACATATTTGGATTTTCAACAGTGGTTTCCCCCATTGTTGGTCTAAAATTTTTTATTATGATTTTTTTTTTAAACCTTTGGAAATTGACTTATTTCCTTTTAAACACATCTTTTTGTTAAATCCACTTTGTGGGACTATAGATTGAATACATTTTAAATAGAAAAAAATAAAACATAAATGTAAAAAAGGCTAATTTAATGTTTAAACTAATTATATTATCACATAGTTTTATTATTTTATAATATTAAAAATGCAAACTAATAATATAAAGCCATATAATAATATAATAAAAATGTAGAGTAAAAGTGTATTTCTGTGCAATGTGAAGAGGGGTAAATCAGTGCCTTTCAACCTTGGGGGTTGCGACCCTTTCTGGGGGTCACCTGGAATTCAAATTGGGATCTTAAATCATCTTAACAACTGTATTTTTTCACTTTCATGAATATAAATCATGTTCAGATAAAATGCAGCATTTAAAAGATCTAATTCTGTGATGTCTAAATGAGGTCACAATCCAAAAAAGGTTGGGATTTTTAGGACCGTTTATGTGTGTCTGTGTGTGAAGAAATGACAATGGCATGACTAGGGCTTGTGTGCGTGGACACAGGCAGATTATCAACTGTGAAGAGTCATCTAGGCGGTTTATAGAGATTAAATTACTTTACGTCTTTTTTTTTTTTTCCAATGTCGTATTTAATTTCCTTGGTCTTAGTTGGAGACCTTTGGACCTTGCTGTCACTGTGGCTTTTTCTTCCTCTGGCATTAACCTGATTACCTACCTGTGGCCTTTGAGCCTGTTGGCATGAGTTAGCTTAGCTGTTAATCTACAACTGCTAAGAGTCCTGATAAAAATGTTTTAGCCCTGAATCATAATTTAATGTGGACTTTCACAAAGGTAGAAAATGGGAAAACTGTCATTTCAAGCAGCAGTTTTTCAGATTCCATATGAAAGGTTGATGCCTTAGATCAGCTGTTCCTGAACTTTTCCATGGCCAAGGCCCCCCCCAAACAGCATTAGCATTGGCTGGGGACCCCCTTATCAAACCCACAAACAATGCTGCAAAGACATGTGAGGACTTTTAGCTGATCTTCAGACTGTTTCTCGGAATGTGGTTCTCTGAAGTCCACAACATTCTTCAAACTTCTGGATGGAACACTAACTGCTGATGTCTTTGTCTCTCTGCTGAAACAGCGGCTGAGTCTCTGACCTGTCAGTCTCCTGGGAAGAAATGTGACTTTGTGTGTGACTGTGAAGACTGTGGGGATGAGATGATCTGTGGTAAGAACTTACTCCTTCTTCTCAGCTTCTTCTCACCTCTAAAGAACCCAAATAACTTCACAACATTCAGTCATAAACCCCTGCCTTGTTATGGACAGAGGCAGATTTAAGGGTTTCCCAGTCAGGGCAGGTTGAAACATTAAATCCATGGATAAGTCAGATGATGAAAACAAGTGGTTCCAAAACAGTGCCCCCTATGGAGATAAGGCTATTATTGATAACAGCTGTTTCTTCCAAATGCAACTATAATTAATTTAGTTACAAATATTGAATATTAATTAATGTTACCATGGAGGCACATAAATATGTGTGTAAAAAATTGAATCAATATTTCTTTGCCCTGTTGTGACCTCCATTGCAGTAGCCTCTCACTCCATTAGGGGCGCTCTACCCCAAAAACACCATATACCGTATTTTCCGGACTAGGGGACCTGGGGACCCCCTTTAGCTGATCTTCAGACTGTTTCTCTGAATGTGGTTCTCTGAAGTCCACAACATTCTTCAAACCTCTGGATGGAACACTAACTGCTGATGTCTTTGTCTCTCTGCTGAAACAGCGGCTGAGTCTCTGACCTGTCAGTCTCCTGGGAAGAAATGTGACTTTGTGTGTGACTGTGAAGACTGTGGGGATGAGATGATCTGTGGTAAGAACTTACTCCTTCTTCTCAGCTTCTTCTCACCTCTAAAGAACCCAAATAACTTCACAACATTCAGTCATAAACCCCTGCCTTGTTATGGACAGAGGCAGATTTAAGGGTTTCCCAGTCAGGGCAGGTTGAAACATTAAATCCATGGATAAGTCAGATGATGAAACCAAGTGGTTCCAAAACAGTACCCCCTTTGGAGATAAGGCTATTATTGATAACAGCTGTTTCTTCCAAATGCAACTATAATTAATTTAGTTACAAATATTGAATATTAATTAATGTTACCATGGAGGCACATAAATATGTGTGTAAAAAATTGAATCAATATTTCTTTGCCCTGTTGTGACCTCCATTGCAGTAGCCTCTCACTCCATTAGGGGCGCTCTACCCCAAAAACACCATATACCGTATTTTCCGGACTATAAGCTGCTATTTTGTTTCCCACGCTTTGAACCCTGGGGCTTTTCTATGGATTTTTCTTCAGCCACCAGGGGGCGTTCTAGCAGAAAGTGCAAAAACGAAACAGACAGTGGAAGTCAGTACGAAGAAGAACACGCTAGTTTTTATTTAGCACATACAACACGCACGACAGCGAATTATTCTCACACCCTCTCACACTTCTGAGGATTATTTGCTGTTCAGGAAACATTTGAGAACATTTGAGTAGAGTTTCTGATGAAAATGCAATGCCAATAAGAACAATTAGCATTTCTCCCTCCCCTCTGTAGGCTATGCTGGAAAAGGCTTTGTTTGTGACTTTGAGGATGAAGGACTGTGTGGATGGACGGAGTCGTCCGTCAGTCCCACAGAGTACAGCTGGGAAAGGAGTCAGAGAGGAGACCAGCTGCCCAGCAGTGGACCCTCGTCCGACTACACCACTGGAACAGCTACAGGTGAGGAGACCAGGAAGGTACAGAAAAAGTAGGCTCACAGAATGTGGGTAAGATGGAATTCTGAAGCCTCATGATGTCCACCTGAATGCCAACACCTCTAGTTCTTTGGGGCCAAAAAACAATTGCGCCTTATTTTGATTGTTTTTAGGCATTTCTATAACAGTCCCATCGAGGCAGTGGTTCGAGCTTGGTAGGACTGTAGAGAGAAATTGCAGGGATTCAAATTCTCTTCTTTCCCATCATTCAGGCTGGTTTATGGGAGTCACGTCCACGAAGTCGGAATCGCCCCGAACTGCAGTTTTACTTTCTCCAGAGATGAGACAGTCGTCTCCAACCTGTCGTGTCCATCTGAGATACTTCCTGTGGGACTCGGGTACCTCGGCTCAAACCTCAGCCAAAAAACGATTCTACCGTATAATGATATTTTTAAGTTGTTTTAATTATATTGTCTGGTTTCCTGAAGGTCACAGTGGTCTAGGTAATATTCCACTGTGGGCATCCGTGCTTCACGAGAACTCCCCTGAAGCTGTAGTTTGGCGACCGGAGGCCACCAGCATCCGTGGCTGGCGGGAGGCCACCATTTTTCTGGGTCGGATTCCGACGGCCTTCAGAATCAGCCTGAACTCCCAGAGGTCTGAGGGACAGAAAGGGGACGTAGCCGTCGATCAGCTGGAGTTTCTGGACTGTTCTCTACCATGTCAGTCCCACCAAGACCACCCCGCGGTGTCTGTTTCATGACAATCTATAGTTCATCATTATTCATACATCCTTTGTGTTTTTTATTGTGACATCATCAGTGCCACAGGATTGTGGACCAACGATGCTGAAGTGCAGGAATGAAGGGTGTGTGGAGCAGCGTCAGGCGTGTGACGGCACTGATGACTGTGGAGATGGGAGTGATGAAGAGAACTGCGGTGAGGATCAAGACAACAGCAACTTCACCTGCAAGAGAAATATAAACTATAAAAACTATAAGAAATTAAAAATGGTTTTAAAAACAAAGACATAAAAAACAAGATGAAATATAATCAGATTTAAAGTGTATCCAAAACGATTCAAATGTGCAGTTAACAGGTTCAGTGTCCGTAACCAAAATTATTGCACAGATTAAATTTGAATAATTACCAAAATGTAAGAATATTGCAAGACAATTGACTAAACATTTTAATGGTTTCAACCAGATTGTTGCACAGATAATTACATTTAGTGACTAGATTGAAATTCCTAGTTTGTTAATGTTGTTTTGTGGTCAACATTTGGTATTAATTTATGCCAGTGTTTTTTAAAGTGCGAGGCCCGCCACCCCTGGGGGGCGCCAGAGCGCCACTATAGGGGAGGTGCAAAACAAAGAAATAGAAAGGTGTGTGTGAGACAACATGAATTCTAGTTAAGTTTAGTGTAAGCTAATAGTAGTATACAGTTGTTTAATTAAAGGTCATAAACAACCCAAACTTTTTTGTAAAAAAACACTAATATTAGGTCACAGAGATAAATCAGAACCAGGTGTACTACTGCCTCGTGTGGTGAGTTTGTATTAGTGAAGCAAAAGAAAATAAGATTTCATACGCTTAAACTAAATAACAGGCAGGGGGGTGCAGTGACGTGCCACTTCCGCTATAATGCTTGAATGATAACAAGCCTCCTGTCACTAGGTGGCAGCAACTCATACAGTGGTTTGTACAGATAGAAATATACATGTTATCAGGTTCTCGATAGTATTTTAATGTAGGGGTGTGGGTGTGAAAACAGTTCTGCCCCCAAGATTGGTCATGACAGAAATTAAATTTGTGTCATAACCAGCAACTTAACTTAAACAGTGTTTGTGTGTGTGTGTGTTTCCAGAAGGATACCAGCTGTTTGATTTTGAGGACCAGCTCAGTGACCTGTGGGACCTGAGGACGATCTCCAGTCTGAAGTGGGTTCGGACGAGTCAGGACAACATTTCTCTCACTGATCCTCTGAGAGGACCAGGCAGGGACCACTCCAACAACAGTGCTGCAGGTGAGGATTTCGGCGCTGTCAAAAATCTTTAATGCTAGCCTGCTACACGCTAGCTTGAGGAGCAGAGCAGGTTGATAACAGGAGCAAATTCTCAGGTTTACGCAGCGTATGATGTCGTCATGCTGAAGTTGCAGCTGTCACAGGTACCATCGGAAAGAATTAGAAAATTATGGCATGTTTGCATGTTGTGCAGTTCAGGTCAGATGATTATTAATTTTTTTTTTAAGTTAGCTTCTTTATAGCAGTTTCTTAAAATCTTCTCCCTCAAATTTTTGGAGGCCACCCTCACGCTCCCTGTTGGCCCTCGAGGGGCCATCGCCCCCACTTTGAACAACATTGTTTTATAGCACATGGTTGTGGTAGAGTTTGTATGAAATGTGAAATTTGTCAACTTGAAAAACGAGTGTGGTTCTTTTCCTTAAGTGAAATTTGTGAGCTTGAAAAACGAGTGTGGTTCTTTTCCTGCCATTTACGGACTTACTTCTTTATCTTTTAGGTCACTTCCTCTATGTGACAGTCCCCGAGGGTGGTCTCAAAAATGACTGGTCCTCTTTTCAAAGTCACCGCCTCAGTCCCACCATCAGCTCACATCCCTGCAAGGTGATGTGACCAAGCATGTGTTCATTTGATTTAATGTAATAATTACCCACAAAAATGTCACTGTTCTAATTCGACTGTCCTTCCCGCTTGCCGTAGATGGTGATGTACACCCACCAGTTTGGCCCTCGGTCTGGTGGTCTGACGGTGCTCGTGGCTGATAAGAACATTTACCCAGTGTGGGAGAGAGGTGGCGCTCTAGGAGATGTTTGGGTGAAGGCAGAGGTGGAGATAGTCACCAGTGAGCCGTTTCAGGTGAATGCATCCCCATCAGTATGCACAGCAGTGTGACATTTTTGCAGAAATTTGAGTTGTGACCTTTGTCTTTGACAGATTGTGATAATGGCAGCAATCAGAGATTTCAGATATGGAGGCATCGCCATTGACAGCATCATGTTGTCACCAGAGTGTCGTGCGTCAAATGGTAAAGTTATGACTACATTAAAGGGACAGACACAGGATTTTAAATGATGGAATATTTATTAATAGTACACAATGGGAATTCCCTGTGATAAGAAACAACTGGACATATTTGTTTGCCTAATTTTAGCCTGCAGATACTGATACTGTACGTAATGATAATATATATATATAAAAAGTAACTCCCAGAAACTGCACACAGTACCACTTTCTCTTTTCAGTTCAATATCTATCAAAATAAATGGCTGGGTGATTGTAAAGAAGTACTAACTAAAATGGGTGTCAAGTGGTTAAACGTTAGCTATGGTCAGTTGTGAAACAATTTGCTGCTGCTAACCTAGCATGATGCAGCTAACTCCGCAACAGCTGTTGTACCTACATTTGGGGGGGAAAAAAGCAGTGCTGTTGTTAGCTTTTGCTAGCATGTTGTTGTTAGCGCAGTCAGCTAGATATTAGAGTGCCAACCTCACTACTAACATTACTGTTACATATATACGACAAATGACTAGCTCGATGCTCCAGTGGAGCATCGTAAAGTACTTCCAAGCTAACAACATGTTAGCTTCAGTAGAAAGGTGTTAGCTTCCACTGCTCTTCTGTAACACAACACATGCAATAAATGATTTGTTGCATAACTGGCAAGATATGTTCTAACTGACCAACCAGGCCGACCATGGTCAAAATTGTTCGACTCCGATCACTAGCCAATCAATTCGCTGAAAAAAACCTTTGATGATTAATGTGAAATTATTTTGCTATTTTTCTCAGAAGTATTACATACAACCATGCTCTAAAAACACTCCCCTAGACAATTGATAATATGTTCACTTTAATTCGACCAGATTAAACCTTCAGTTGACTAATAGAACTTTTGTCTCTTCGTCTCCAGAAAATTCTTCCCTTGCAGAATTCCCCAAACCTCCTAAAGACCCCTGCGCTGAACCTGACAAATTATGTGACTTCAACCCAGACTGTGCCAACTCAGAGGACGAGGCCAAATGTGGTGAGTCTATTTAATTTTTTTCAGGTCTCGCAGTAGGTGTAGCACAGCTCAATCTTGAAAACTTCCTTCCCCTGAGTCTGGTTTTTGCCAGTAAAATCCTAAGATTTTATGTGGTTTTAATGTTTAATGCAGGGGACTTCTCGTATCCTGGAGGCAGTTCAGGCTGGACGGACTCCAGCATTGGGAGCCAAGGCTGGAAGCTTTTTAAAAACTCAACATCCAAAGGTAAAACGTTGTTATTCTTTGAAACTGAGGTCCCTGTTATACTGTCATTGCTACTACTTCTATTTCCTGTTAAAAAAAAATTCCACATAAACTGAGGTGTTTTAAGTGCCACTTTGGGTATGTGACTCCTTCACTACTAACATTACTGCTACATATACGACAAAAAGCTAGCTCGAAGCGCCGGTGGATCATTGTAAAATACTTTTACGAGGCCAAATTCCTAAGATCCTAGTCCGCGGTGGACTAAGTGTACACAGCAGAAACAGTGGCAGGTATAGCTGAACCAGATATATTTGACTTAAATTAAATTTAAATTAAACTTTACTTTACTTTTGAGTTGAGACCAATGTTGGGAATTTCAATAAACTAAGTTTAAAAAGGCATGGGAAATTCGATTTGATTATTTTTTAACAAAGGCATGGAAACATGGAAAATTCGATTTGATTATTTTTTAACAAATGTTGACAAAAAATTGAAAGTTAAATATCAAATGGAGAGCAAATACAGTAATACCTTGAGATATCCTCCATCCTGACATACGACTGTTCCGAGATACAAGCCTTTGAGCAAATGAAAACAAAATAAAAATGATGAAAACGTGCAGTCGGATGGGTGTGTCAGACACATGAAGGGACTAATGACATCACAATCTACATACACTGACGTACGAGTAAAACTGTGTTTATTCTAAATATCCTGCACATATTTCTGTAAAACTAGTATTTAAACAGAAATGGTTCTTGTCATAATTTTCAGAGGAGTACCTGTACGTTGCTGAGGCCCCGGGACAACAGCTGACTGAAGCCCAGACCAGGACCCCACTCCTGGGACCCTCAGGTCCCTCCTGCTCCCTCAGCTTTGAATTTGCCCTGACTGGGAATCCAGAGCACATCGGTAATGTCATCGGACCCAAACATGAACTCAGCACTGCCACTAGTGGATGTTATTTTTAAAAAGAAGTTCAAATGTGAGGCACATATGAGGTTGTGTATGGGCCGGGCAGTTTGAAGTGGACGTGCCAGACTGTGTAAGTAAAGGGAAGATAAATTAGGCTTAGGCCCAGTTTGTGGTACACAGCCAGTGTCAGTGGTGCAAGTCGGTGGCTCAGTGGGTTCATTACCTGGGTGCTGCAGATGCACCTTAAAACACATTATTATAGTCTTCTCACCATGTTTCATTATCACTGTTTACAGGTGAACTGTCCGTCAGGGTGATTGACAGTATGCTGGGCCCTCGGCCCAAACTGTGGGAGTTCAGTGGGAAGACGGGAGCAGCAGGAGAGGAGGACAAGTGGAGAAACGCCAGCCTCACCGTTGGAGCCAGAAAACATCGTTTCCAGGTCGACTCATTTTGCAAGATACGATGAGATAAAAATGTATTTTTGTGTGTGGCTAAATAGATCCTGAATCTGGATGGGATTATATTGGTCAAAAAAAAAAAAAAAGTGTCGCAAAACTTTATTTTTAAAGATGAACTTTCATTCCTTTAGATTCAAATTTTGCACCATTACTCAAACTCACTGAGTTTTTAGATGTGATTCCCACAAGGTTACGGTGGAGTCACAAAACCAAGAGGATTATGGGAGTGTTGATTGTAATATTTATTCTGTCCAGCTGGCATTTGAGGCTCGTGCTGTGAAACTTTGTGCATGTGTCAAAATAAAAGTCCAAAATGTCCGTTTCCTGGGCTGCCACGCTGAATATCTTCCCTCTTCTCCGACAGGTTTGTCTTCAGAATTTAAGTCGCATTACACTGTAACATTTCTTTAAAGAAAAATTATATAGTATTAATATTAATTCAATGTTGTTTTTTTTTCTAGACCTGTCCTGTAATTTTGAGGAGAATCTGTGTGAATGGTACCAGGACAACACTGACAACTTTGACTGGACTGTGCAGAATGGGACGGATCACACTGTTGGAAATGGTGAGCAGACGTTGATATGAAGTTCATTTAATTTTACATATTTGTGCCTAAATGAAATCCTAGCAAAAGAAACACTAAAAAAATAAACATTAAGAGAGCAGGAACGGAATGGAAGAATTTACCGAACTTGTTACTTTTGAAACTAAACACAGGCAGAAACAGTTTTTTCCCACAAATCTTGAATGAGTGTAATATCGTATTGACTGAATAGCAATATTTTTCTGTTTTATTACTTTCTATAATTGGCATAATTTCAGTGGAACTTTTCCCTCACAGGAAGCATAGGTTGTGTGTTAAACACTAGAGTTGAATGGTTTTTGTGTAAAACGTTCTGACTCCTCATCAGTGGATACAAACATACCATATTATAGATAGGATAATATAATATATTATATATATATAATATATTAAGATAATATAAGGTATTAAGTGAAAGTGAAATCTAATCTGAAAATTATATTCAGTTATTCTTCTCTCCCTGACCTTCCTGTTGATGTCCAGGTCAAAGTCTTGTTGTGGACATGTGGAGTCCATCTCTGCGTGGTTTGTTTGGGCGTTTACTCTCCTACCAACAGCCACCGATTTCTTCAGATTACTGTCTGTCCTTCTTCTACAAAGTCTACGGACCAAACACAGGTGAGGATGGAGCTGACCATGGAAAAGCACCGCTAAAAATTTTACCAAAATCTCTACTAACCTTGGTTTGATCTTATCCAATCTGAGACAAAAGAAAAAAGAGAGGTGATCACAAAGTAACATATTTGTGCTGAACAACTCCTGTTTGCTGGCGTGTACAAATAGAGGACTTCCTTAATGGACCTTAGCGTCGGAGCAGACAGTATACAAAGTACACAGTTTAAATCAGTGGTGTCAAACTCATTTTGGTTCTTGGGCGGCATACAACCTAATTAGATTTCAAATGGGCCAGACCAGTACAATAATTAACTATACAGTAAATAAAAATAAGTCTATGTTTTCCCCCTTTGGTTTCATGCAAAGAAGTACAAGTGTATTAGATATTTATTACTATTTAACTAAATATAATTTTACAAAAATTATCCTAGACAAGGTGTTTGTGTATTTTATTTATTTTTCATATTAATCAAACTGGCCGATTTTTGGCCCACGGGCTGTATGTTTAACACCCTTGGTCTGAATCAAAACTTCTAATTTGAAAGGAATTTTTGCAAAAATGAATCATTTTAATATGACAAATCCAAATAGTCTGAGGGTTAAACCACACCACCTCCCATGCTCTCCGCTCAGGTGCTTTAAATGTGAAGCTCTTGGATGGAAACGGCTATGAAACACTGCTGTGGACTCGGGGTGGGGCACACGGAAACATCTGGCATGAAGCCCACTGTCCAGTCCCTCATCAGCTCACCAGCTTTCAGGTAAAAATCATGTATTAGTGGACAAAAATTAGCCAAAGAAAATCCTGATTTGCAGAAATTCAGGTTTTTGCTTGCTCTCGTCACAAATAGCTCACGTTTGAAGCAGTTCGCTCGGGCTTTGACGGTCAAATTGTCATCGACGATGTGGCGTTCGTGGAGCGCCCCTGCTCCATACCCAGGATGTGCTCCTTTGAAGGACAGCGTTGTGGCTACAGCAGCTCAGGAACCATTCGTTGGCTCCACAATAGTGGGAGCACTATCAAAACTGGACCCAAAACTGACCACACACTGGAGACTGAACTGGGTAAAATCATTAGCTTGAAGGACTGATTTGGTTTTTTGTTTTGTTTTTTATTATGTGGACGGAAAATGTGTCTGTCAGCAGAAAAACAGAATTTATCCCTTAAACAATAGTCGTATCTCCCAAAATGACACAATCCTAAAGTAACTCAATGACTTATTTATCTTTCCTTCAGAGGTATGACGCTGCTACCATTGGTTCAGCCGAACTCCATCAGAAAAGAACGTTATGAAACATAAAAGTGACAGAATAATGTATTGTACCCTACAGCAGGGGGCAGCAGAGGAACCAGCATTCTATGTAAATTGAAGATTTTCTCTATGGAGAAAAATGTATTGTTTAAAATGTAATAGTGGAAAATCTTGCTAATGTTAGGCAAGGGCAGGACCTGTATTAAGATATTATTTAGATTAGGATGTTTATTTTAATTTTGACTCTCATTCTATTGGTTAAAACTAGGGACGTCCGATATTAACTTACAATATCTGATATGCTGATATTGTCAGAACGCTTCCGATATCAATTGATACCGATACAGCGGGGCAGGGGTGGCCTGGTGGTTAAGGAAGTTAAATGCTGCCTACTCACTAAAGTGATGGGTTAAAGCCACGCCCCCTATCAGGAGACAGGAGAAGTTTTTTCACCCCCTTCTCAAATTAAAATACTATTGAGCACCTTGTAGTATCTTGTAGACTATCAATATAGATTAATAAAATGAGCTGCAATGCTGCCATCTAGTGACCAGAGGCTTGTTTAGCGTTGAAAATATTTAGTTCTGCTATGAAGTTTGGAGTTTACAGTAACAGGTATGGGAGGGGGAGTGAGGAGGTGTGGTGAGAGCGCGTGTGTGTATGAGGAAGAAAGAGAGTGTGAGAGGAGGAAAAGGTGTTTTTGGAGAAGCTGCGTTGAGAGCACTGAGGAATCGGACTGGTCTGACGGCAGGGCAACTATTTTTGGAGCACACATCGTATCGTGAAACCCAGGCATTGCATTATTGGGCTTTCAATATCTGAGAAAATACCGATAAAAAAATAAGCTAAAATCAGGCCGATAATATCTGTCCGCCGATATTATCGTTCATTCCTAATGTAAGCGTTTTCAACAAAGACCGTTCTTCTTCACACACTGTAGCAGACTGAATAAAAAGAAATGCTCAGTGAAGTAACCCGCGACCCTTCCCCATCCCACGGTCAGGTTTCTACATGATGGCTAACACAGGAGCCGGCGTTCTTCCCTCTGGCACATCCACCTTTCTCACTTCTTCTGTCCATCAAGGAACCGCCAAGACAAAGTGCCTGCATTTCTGGTATCACATGGGTGGAGTCAAACCTGGTGAGATGTCTTCAAACACAAACACACAACACTGTGGAAAACCAGACCACAGTGAACACGGCGCTTTTAGTTCAAAGCCTTTTCCTCTGCAGGTTCTCTGACTGTGTACATGAAGCCAGTGAAGGGAGAGAAGGTGAAGATCTTCTCTGACACTCTGGACCAAGGGGACGTCTGGCGCCACGGCAGCGGAAACATCTCCAGTAACCTCGTCGACTGGCAGGTATAGAATCGAGGTTGGACAATGAGCTTGAGATCAACAGGATGGATGGATTAGTTAATAGATAAGTACATAGATAGATGGGTCTGTGGATGGATGGATGGATGGATGGATGGATGGATGGATAAATAAATACATGGAATCGGTGGACACATGGATGAAACATGGATGGATTAATAGATAAGTACATGGATAGATGGGTCTGTGGATGGATGGACTGACAAACGGATGAATGAATTGAAGGATCGAAGAATGCATGGATTGATGGATGGATGGTTGGATGGTTGAATGGATGGATTGATGGATGGATGGATGGGTGAGTGAGTTAAAAAAAACCTCTGATTCTGATTCTATTCTTTTACAGTTGGAGTACCTCTGATTCTATTCTTTTACAGTTGGAGTTTGAGGCGGTGGGTGCCGGAGGCAAAGACACTCACATCGCAGTGGACGACATCTTCCTTTCAAGCCACGCCTGTGAAAATAAAGGTAAGAATGTCACGGTTGTATCAACCCATGGAGGGTTCTTTGGAATACGGTGTATTCTATTGAGAGCTGTCACGTCCCAGGATCCAAGTGTGACCTGGAGACGGGCATGTGCACCTGGAGCAACACTCAAAACAAAGACCTGGATTCTTTGGACTGGGAGCTGACCAGTCACGAGGCGGAGCAGCACTACTCCGTCCCGCAGGAGGACCACACCCTGGGCACAGAGAGAGGTTCTGTGCCGCTCTGAATATCCTGGATTTTGATTTAGGTTTTTTTGTTGTTGTTGTTTAATTTAAATACCTTTGTTTCTCTTCTTTGCTAGGTCACTTACTGTTTTTACCCACCACTGATCGGACACCAGCCAATCAGAATGCTGTGCTGCTGAGCCCTCACCTGCCTCCAACCAAAGGCACCTGCGTTAAATTCTGGGCCCATATTCCGTCCTCCTGTAAGGGTTTTAAAATACGGTCTACAGTCGGAATCCATCCTACGGTTCACCTGTTATTCGCTTGTTGTCGTGTTGTTCATTTGCTTGCTGTGTTTTCTTTTTGCGCGATGTTTTGTAGCCGACAGTCATCTGAGGGTGTTGAGGTTGTCCAAGGGCCTTCTCCACGAGCTGCTGGTGGTCAGAGAAGTCCAGGGACTGTGGAGACGCTTCGATGTGGATATCACTTCAGCTGAAGAATACCAGGTAAGAGGCTCACCACTGGAGGTCACTGTCTGAGTTTCTTTGTATGAGTCCTCTCAATTTTCATAATCAGTTTAAAAAATCATATATATTTAAAGGAAAGAATATGTCCTGTCTAAAACAAAGTGCCTGGATCAAAATGTACACATATATATATAAATATATGTGTATATATATGTATATATGTATATATATTTATATATATATATGTCGGTATATATATGTTTGATATATACAGGACATATTCTTTCCTTTAAATATGTTACATTTTAAAAACTCATTTTCACCAGGGGGCGACATCAGTAACAGTTCTGTCCTAGATGTAACTCCTCCGTAATGTGTTACTACATGTTTCTGTAGTTGATCATTATTTATTCAAGTTACGAATGTTGTTCATTGCTGTGTAACTAAAAATACTTTACTATAATAATTTACCAGCTTAAGAAACTCTGCCTTCTGCTTTACTTGGCGGGCCGCATTTTGCCCTCGAGCCTTGAGTTTGACACACGCTCTAACATGTTATCTGTATTTGAACCAAACTTTTTAAACCTGCTAAAAGCCTAGTGTAGGATTGATAAACTGGTCACTCTCCTACACCAGAGTTCATAAAGGAATTCTGTGATCTTATTTGAGTCTACTGCGGCCGAAATCGCTTTGTTTAAACTTCTGCATTTGTGCTTTCAGCATTTGAAATCTTTCCTTCTCACTTGGCTGAGTGACAAAAACTCACATATATCAAACAGTAGCAACAAACACCAGCAACTTCTTTCCTTACTTGAGCTAAAAATCCCTATTCTCCCTGTGGGATTTGGTGTGAGGGAGCAAGTGCATACTAGTAATGCGAAGCAAATCAATATCAATTGAAAACAGTTCACTGCCACTCCTGTGTTTTTTCTGCAGATTGTGCTTGAAGGAATCAAAGGAACGTCAGGTGTCATCGCTCTGGATGACATTGAATATACCGTTGGGATTAACTGTGCGAAAGAAGTCACCGACTCTCTGAGTAAGTCTGAGGCCTGAGGCCTGATTGTTTTGTCGAACATCCTAGCTCGATCATTCCACTCAGTGAGTGCTTAATCGTCTCTAAGCTTATACCAAATGTCTTGTGAAAACACCCACCCTTTTCTGTCAGCATGAAGCATGAAACTAAAAACCAACAAATACAGACCAGAGACCCACAGAGTACCACCAGACCTTAAACCTTCTGCACCTCTTCTGCAGCCTCCAGCAAACGGAACACGGGAGGTATGGTGGCCTCCGTCATCGTGGTCCTGCTGCTGATCGCTACTCTGATCGCTCTCTTCGTGTACTACCTGAGATCACGTCAGAGGATGAGGCCAAGTCCTTCATCCTTGTCGTCCACTTCTACTGACCGTGTTGGTTTTAGCAATGATTCTTACAGCCCAGACCTCACTGTGAGTCCTTCAGACCCTAATGATATATGATATGATACCATGTGATACAATATGATACCCTAGGATATAATATAATATAATATGATACCATGTGTTATAATATGGTACTATGAGATACAATATAGCATGATACGATACCATGTGCTACAATATGATGCCCTAGGTCAGTGGTTCTCCAACCTTTTTCTACTCTACACCACCTGAAAAAACATTGATCTCCCTGAGTGCCACCATGATGACCAACAGTAGAATACAGCAGCATACGTCCTTCCCTGTTAGCTCCCCCCACAGGAGAGAGGTTTAGATATGTTTATAAAGATGTTTATGTTTAAATGTTGTATTAATTTTACATGGTATGTTTTCAGATTTATTCAACTGAAAATGTAAACGTGAAAATATTGTGAAAGAATTTTGACAGAACCACTGCCATAGGATATGGTATGATATCATGCAATATAGCATTGGATGCCATAAGATATAATACCACATGATACGATTCAATAGCACGTCGTTGTAAGAACCTGACCTACATTTGTTCTTGTGTCTCAGTGGCTTCGATATAATCTGAAATAACGTGTTCCTTTTAGCAAGACCATGTGACAGTTTCACCGACTCAGAACCATCCCATGGCTGCAGGCTTCAACAATATCACTGTGAGCAATGCCCCCCCTCCCCCCCTTACTACTTAAGTTTTTTTTTTACAATTAACCTAAGACCATTTGAACTGATTCCAGTCTTTCTGTTGCGTATTGGCAGTACCCTGATGATTTCAGAGAGGTGGAGGTGAACTAAAACAGTGGGAGAAGATCAATGGCCCTGCCACCTAGTGGTGGCTTCTGAAGCTGAGGCGGCATCACAGCAGAAGAACTGCTTGTGTCGTTGGCGCACACACACACACACACACACACACACACACACACACACACACACACTGATAATACTGAGTTGACAATCAGAGATGCTGTGCTCCAAAGGCTGGCTCCCTGCTGCCTGAGGACAGACATGAAGTTAAGAAGGCGTTGCAGATAAAAATGATTTTACTGTTCTTTAAAATGAAGAATCTTAGCCTCAGGTCCACTCTGTCCGCTTTCAGCTAATATTTGTGAGTAAATTAGCCGTTTTTCAGAGCAGAATGTTGAAATTCCTTCCATCTTCTTTGAAAAACAAGTTTACATCTGGTTTCTAGAAGAGACAAAGAGCGAAGCCCGAGCTTGAGGTGTCAAGTTAGAAAGAAGTTTACTACAACAGGAGGCCATAGAAAGATGCGTTATGGGACAAGGCGTTGTCCAGTGAACGCAAAGGAGGGCAGAACCAAATGTGAGGTTTCAAATGAACGGAGCTAAATGTTTTAGCAATATTTAAAAGAGAAGTAAAAATGATAAACCAATATGTAAGAAATAATTAAAGCTAAATGTTTTAGCAATATTCAAAAGAGAAGTAAAAATGATAAACCAATTAAAGTTGAGCATTGAATTTGCCCGTGTGTTTTTTTTTTAACCCACTTTACACAGATAATTTAATGTGAATTGAATGCACTTTTGGACCCAAGTCACTTCCTTAAGGGCCAAGCCACCACTGCTACCGACTACCGAAATGGCAGAGTATTTTTTTTTTATTATTAAGTATTTGAACTTTTGCAAATCCTGTTATGAGAAAAAAACAACCTTAAACAGTCAACCGGTTCTTAGGTGTCCTGTTGTCCAGAAAGTCGTAAAGAATTACGATTATGTAAGAATTACATTTTACGTTGAACTTCAATACAAACATGTGACTAACAACCAAGAGAAAGCCCGTGGAGTGACCTGAATACCAGACTCAGCCTCAACATTCTTTAACAACTGCAGTCTTTACAAATCAATGCTTTTTGAAAAGTTTTTATGAAATAGTGCTCTGTGTTTTCCACTGGACGATGGGTAAATTCTTCATTTTAACTTTGAACTCAGTCTGGTCACGTCGTCGTCTCCGTCTGCTCAGTGTAGATGAACCTCCCCATAAAAACATCTCGAACAAATACTCACTGGGTCCTGTCATATGACTCTTGTCAGGCTTGTCAATAAGAAACCGGGTTGAAAAATATCCAATTGTTGTACACAAAGACAAAAAAAATGTACTAGTTGCTTTAATAATATGTTTTATTTCCAAGGTTTAACAGCCTAACTTTTCATTTCTGGCAGTTTTTCATACATTTTTTTTAAACCTCAAGTGAAATATTTCTTGCATTTTTTTTCCAAGCTATCTAAGCTATAATCTTCTGAATGGAACCGTATACATGTTACAAACAAACGTAATGTTTATGAATGGCACAAACATTGGTTTCTAGTCTTTACTGATGGCCGTGTCTTCCTTAAAACCGACAGTGGCGTCCTAACATTTGTCTGTGGTAAATATCAAACATCCTGGATCCTGGTCTCTGGTCCAAGGTGAGCACTAGGGTGGTGTCAGACCTTGGCACCTCCTTCAGCTCTGACTGACTGAAAGGAGCAACAGGGGCAGATCTCAGAGTCTCAGTGTCAAAGGTTAACCAGTGTGTCAGATGACTCTGAGACAGACGTCATATCCGCAGGCGTCACTAAAACATGTTCAGGCTGGAATGAAAGTTAGAGCAAATGTCACATTTTAACCAAACTTGAATGGAAACCTGTTTCTTCAACGGATCTTTGGTTTCAATGGAACTGTGTTATATATATACACATATGTACCATGACGGATTTTGTACTTCTGTAGTGCTAATAGTTTTGCAGGAATGTGTCTACTCATCATGATCACTGTACTGTAGGTATAGTCTCTGGAACAATGTGAACAAACAGTTTCCCATTAATCATGATAACAGATCTTGTATTTCACTCCTTCCTGTCAGGGTTGTCGTTTTCCCATCATAACCAGGAATGTTGCTCAGCTGGAAAAACAAAAGCACAGAACAAGACAGAACAAATGACGTGCATCAAACCTCAAACACAACATGTCCCTCAGAACCCTGACAGCACAGCTGAAGGAGAGCACTCCTTCTGAAGGGTATTCATTTGAGCTTGATTCCCCCCTGAACAGGATCCACCACAGGTATTCATTTGAGTTTGATTCCCCCCTGAACAGGATCCACCACCTCTGTCTCACATGTTTCTGCAACCAAACATTTGACAGCCCTGCACAGTCTCTGATGTTTTTGGTCCTTCTAACTTCAGTTGTTGAGGAGTAGTTCCTTTAACCGTGCTTGTAGGGCTTTGAGGGACAGGTTAATATCATGATGCGTTCAAAACATACCAAAAATGACGAGATACGAGCTACCCGAAACATGTTTTCCAAGTTACGAGTTAGCGACTTTTGAAAGGTTTAGGCTAGGTCCTGGGCTCAACTACAGCATAGATGCTTTCTTGTCATCTCTTCAGATCAATCTTTAGCCGCCGCTGCACTTCCCATACGTGAGCACACACCATCACGAAGAGGTGCAATGCTGCTGACCTCAGACAGCTGATCGGGGGGGAAACTCAGCTGCGGAGCCTGTTTAATTGTGTTCACTGAGCTGCAAGACTCTCTCTCCTCAGCAGGCAGCAGTCAGCAGTCAGCAAGATGGCGTCTGTTGATGTGTGGTGTGAGCAGGAGTTCATTACTGTCTCTCATGGGAGCTGCCGCTGCCTACGCCTCAGCAAAGCATTTATACCGTGTGTTAATGTAAAGGGGGGCAGTGATGAGTGAAGTCTGCTGACACTAAAGGTCTGTGGGAGAGAAAGTGCATCAATCTCCATGGAGCTCCAGTCCAGGCTCTTCTATTCAAAGATGTTAATATAGAACCAGTGAAAATACTGTCATGTTTCATACACTTATTTTTTTTTTAACTGAAACTGCCCAAAACATCCATATATATATTTTGAGGCCATCAACCTAATGTAGCAGTGAATCGCAGTAGATGGTAAGCTTGTGGTCTCTCTATTAACTATTGTAATATTACTTTGCTAAAGTAGCACAGACTCACAGAAGCTATATACTGATTTGCTAGTAGTAGTAGCACAGACTCACAGAAGCTATATAGCACCAGTCTATCAATTTATATTAATTAATTAATCTATCTATTTTGAGGTTGAAGTCTATCTATCTAGCTATCTAGCTATCTAACTATCTAGCTATCTAGCTAGCGTTAAATAGGATCCAAGAGCAGAGTGGCACCTGCTGCTGTGGCTGCTAGCTAGCTAGACAGGCAGACAGGCAGATAGCAGGCTTGATAGCTAGCCAGCTGGATAGATAGAAATAAACACTCCTAAAGTTGAAAGTTTTTTCAAACATTGCTGATGAAAATGATTTTCAGAACAAGCCCTGCATGGAAACAATATACGATCACAACAGTATTGTGATGCAATATTACTTAGTTCATCAAGGTCATACAGCAATGCATGTTGACTTGCAGGTTCCAGCCAGAGCATAGATAGATAGACAGACAGACAGACAGATAGATAGATAGATAGATAGACAGACAGATAGACAGATAGACAGATAGACAGATAGACAGATAGATAGATAGACAGATAGATAGACAGATAGATAGATAGATAGACAGACAGACAGACAGATAGATAGATAGATAGATAGATAGATAGACAGATAGACAGACAGATAGACAGACAGATAGATAGATAGACAGATAGATAGATAGATAGATAGATAGATAGATAAACCCGATCTTGATTCTTGATTCTAGATAGATAGACAGATAGATAGATAGATAGATAGACAGATAGATGGATGGATGGATGCACATTTGTTTGCATTTCTGTATACCTGTCGTAGATAATTTTTGTGTATCACATTACTTATATATTTTTTTTCTCTACTTGCCTACTATACAGTAAGTGGGTAGCAGCAGGAGGGTGATCATGTTGTTTAATGATAGTAATAGTCTGGAAATAGCTTATGCACACAAAGCAGTAACCAATAACACGTCACAAAGGGCGGCAGCTTCTGCCCTATCATCAATATGCTAATTTACACTGTACTTAAATGCCACAAACTGGTTTAGTCACATTGCTAACACACAGACACAACACTGCTGTCATACCTCTGAAGCACCTGAAGTCACAGGCAACAAAGTAAGTCTGAATACACATGATTTGATTAGATTTCGTATTCATCTGTCAAATCTTTAAATCGGATTTGTAATGAACAATATTGAAGAACTTTTATTGTGTGTTATGTGGATAAATTAAGGACCAAAACTGGGGTTTATTATTATGCAATCTGTTTTTTAAAAAAATATTCTTTAATGTCTAATGGGCCATTTTTAAAAAAAATATAAGTAATATAATTGGTATTATTTCTGAATTCTCAAAATTCATTTATCTTAGTTTATCTTAGTTTTAATACACACACACACACACATATATATACATATATGTATATATGTACACACATCCTCTGAACAACTACATTCTTTATTCTTTTTCAGTCAGATGTTCAAATCTCACCTCTTTAGACACCATTTATTTCAGCCATCGCACATAGTAATTACAAACCGAGTTGTAAAAGTTGTTAACTTAAACGCTTAAACTTAAACGCAGTCCCTTTTGCATTTTTTGGTTGAAGGAAAACATGGAAACTCTGTCAATCAGCTCTCGTTTGAACAAGACCGTCCGTGAGCAGTACATGAAGCTGCCACAAGGGGAGAGTTGCATGGTTACCTACATCTGGATCGATGGCACTGGGACAGAACTTCGCAGCAAAACTAAAACTCTAGACAGGGAACCAAAGGATATAGAAGGTAATTATAATTCATTACACCCGATTTACCTGAGCAACTTCACTAACTGTACAAGACTGTAATACAGGGGTGTCAAAGTCATTTTGGTTGAGGGGACTGGACAAGTGAAGTGGACTGGACCAGTACTAGTAAATAACAAGTCCTTGTTTTTCACCTTAGTTTCCATGCAAAGAAGTAGACGTATATTAGAAAATATTCATATGGAATGAAATATCATTTGACAAAGCATCATGCATCATGAAATAATCTTTCATAATTCATCAAGATGGCCAGATTGAAACCCACGGCGGACCAATTTTGGGTCCCGGGCCTTATGTTTGACACCCCTGCTGTAATAGATCAACGGGTTCTGTGTCTAATTCAGCTTAAAAATTCTTCCTATCTCTGCGAACTCTGATACAGGAAAGTGCAGCAAGTGCTTTAGTCAGACAGCAAACCAGGAAACAAATAAGCATAAAGGTCAACAACGTGTGTTTTCTCTTCTAATCCAGATAAAAACGCAGCCCTGCAATACCCAAATATAAACAGAGCCGATGGTGTTGAAACTGTAGCTTTTTTTTAGCCAAGTTAGCAGGAGTTGCCACGTGTCGTTCTCCACCCCACGATTAACATAACTGATCCTGCTGCAATCACACGAACAAGTTTAGTAAGTGAACTAATAATTACTATAGGTGTCTGCTCAATGCTTTTCACTGCTCTCTTTGAAGAACAAGTAGGCTTGAGTGTCTCTGGACGGCAAGAAGGGTGTGGTTCCATCCGTTCCATCATAGTTTGCCATGTAAACACTGGGGAATACAAATAGAATACCTTGTTGTACTTATAACCTTTAGTAATATAAAATATATTGTCAGTTCAGTGGGGCAGTGGTGGCTGGGGGGGGGTTGAGAAGCAGACTTGGGACCGGAAGGGTTAAAAGCAGAGGTCACAGTTGGTTGTGTGCAGTGGTGTGCTGTGTCACAATGACAAGTAGTTCACTTTCTTTTCCTAAGTTGTCATTTGTTTGACAGCATTTTTCCACTAATAGTAAAATATCGTGGTTTTTAGCACTCAAAAATTAATCTCTGCATAAAGGTAGGGGAAAAGAAAAAAAAATTGTATTTTCTCAATTTACCTTTTTTTTCTATGGATTTTGGATTTTAAACAAACACTCAAACAAACAGGTAAGAATCACTGTTGAACTGTAAACAGAAAAATTTATAATTTCTTTTTGTATACAAAATTTAAGCAAGGCAAAAGTCACTTCTTCATGGGTGCAGATGGCACTAGGGATGGGGAGGGGTCATGGCCCCCTCAGATTCATAGTGTTATTGCTAATAGAGGGTGCAAAAGGGGAATGTGGGAGGGGCAATAATTACAATAAATGAAAATTCCTTTTTTTTATTCTAAAAACGTTGGTAAATAGAGGAATAATGTTCAGTTTGTGACATGTTTTTGTGCTACGAATAATGGTGACTTAACTCCTCTTCTCTCTTTTTCTGCACTGCCACTGGCTACTGTACTAGTATGTTTCCCCCAAGGGGGATGAATAAAGCCCTACTCTACTCTACTCTACTTAAAGTTATTGCAAATGTCGGAATTTCCGCTGTTAAACTTAAGCACGGTCAAGTACAGGAAAACATACAACCATCTGTGTCCCTGAAGTCTTATCAATGTCAATGGCTTTCATGTGACCCCACATCACCAAGCTCATCAAAGTAAAGATAAATAATAAGGTTCCCCACACAGAGCCACATGTAAATGATTATAAAGCTGTAAATATATACTTTCTAGGACAGGCATGGGCAAAGTATTTGACTCGCGGGCCACAATGGGTCCTAAAATTTGACGGCGGGCCGGGTCAGGAGCAGATAGACGGAGCATTCGTATGAACTAAAACAAATGACATGTAAAAGTCATAAAGGTTAAAATGCTAAAATGTTTTAAGCCTTTTCTACGCCATCTATTGGAGAAAAGCAGGCATTGCAGGGAAAAGGCAGAAGTATAATGATAATAGAAATTAATAATATAATTTGGACAAGTTTGATGGGCTGCATCCGGGCCCAGGGCCGTAGTTTGCCCATGCCTGTTTTACGACATCGGACTGAATTACTGAGCAGGTTTGTAAATACAGTGATGATGTGAAACTACAAAAATCCACCACAGAATGTTAATCCAAAATGGTTTTGTTTGAGGCTTAACCCTTAATTTCACTTAATGCGAGCTAGGACTAGCTGTAGCGTTAACAAAACCGAACAAGAAGCTGTGGCAAAACAGGAACTAATGAATACAAGGACGTTTATAAAGCATGTCGCACCTCGCAGATATCCCCATATGGAACTTTGATGGCTCAAGCACAGACCAGGCTAAAGACTCTAACAGTGACATGAACATCGTACCAGTCGCCATGTTCAGGGACCCGTTCACACTTGACCCAAACAAACTGGTCCTCTGTGAAGTCTACAAATACGACAACACTCCTGCAGGTACGTGGAGAACGTGATCCGATTTGACCGATCGCCCGACTGGAACTGATGATTCCCAAATTTCTGTTGGTTTTGCAGAGACTAACCATAGGGTTAGCTGCAAACTAGTCATGGATGAGCTGAAAGAGCACTGTCTCTGGTTCGGCATGGAGCAGGAGTACACACTCTTTGGCGCTGATGAACGTCCGTTTGGTTGGCCGGCTAATGGATACCCAAAACCCCAGGGTGAGTTAGCTGGGAAATATATGTAGGTTGCTACATCGTGTAGTATTTGTCTCTACAGACTAATCGTGTCCTCTGATCTTAGGCCCTTACTACTGCAGTGTGGGGGCAAACAATGCCTACGGACGGGACATCATGGAGTGTCACTACAAGGCCTGTCTCTATGCAGGAATCAAAATCTATGGCACCAACGCTGAGGTCATGCCATCTCAGGTAAAAGTTTTTTTTTCCTCACACACTAAAGCCGTCGTCAGGGGTCCTTTAGGAACAT